CGAATAATCTAGGTCCGTTCTAAAATGTGTCAAAATACGAGAAAAAAAACATTCCTTCGCAGATTTCGTAATGAAACTACAAAATTCAGACATTTTTTTTTAATTTTGCAAATGACATTCAAAGCGTGGCATAAAAAGTTAATATTTATATCTTTCTTAGACCTATTGATTTCAATCATCTGGAGACATGCAGCTTCGATGTCTTAAATCCGTCCCTGAAAATCAGCAAGCCTCGATTCCGTCCAATGAAAAATGATTATTAGTCTTTAATCTAGATTTTCGTTCAATTCTTTTACTTATTAATTTTTAAATTACAGTAAACATTATTTAAAATCAAACGAAGTCAATGCGACTTTACATTACATGAAAACATAAAGAATATATCTATGTCTATGAACTCATGAACAAAACAGATATTAGACCCTTACGCCGGTGTTAGGGCCGGGGCTTGGGCGGTTGCTTGCATTTTCCAGTACTATTCATGGACAGGCTCAATCACCCGAGCAGGCAACATTTTCAATTTTGCCGTTTTGGAAGTTCTTTAGGGGTTCTTTATTTCTCTCTATTTTCTTGCATGCATAGGAAATTAAATGTTATAGTGTAAAATCAGCATGCCTCCAGATTCATGCTAATTTTCGTGAACATTTGGAAAATGTATTTAAAAGTTACATATTGCGAGGTGAGCTCAGAAAGTAATTAATACATTGCGAAAGTCACTTACAATCCACGTTAGTAAGTAAAAAGAGGTCAAATTATGCAAAAATAGCCCTTACTGCGTTTCTTACGCGATGAATACAGCAAAACTACGTTTTTATATGTAATTAAGATCCGTGAGCAAAACCAATGATTAATCGCACATTACATGTAATTTATTGCAAAAATCTTTAATCTTTTACTCTTCTTAAAATCTAAGTACACGTTTCTCAAGTTTGATTTTCTTGAAATATTATTGGCTCATCTGAGTGCATGAAGCTTTAATTGCAGAAAAAAAAACTTTTTTGATCCACCTTCCTCATTAATATCTTCCTGTCATGAGAAAAAAAATATTACAAATGATAGTTTAAGTCTCAGCTGAGGATAAAGGGAAGACACGAATAAAGGAAGTAATAAAAGGGTGGTCTTGATTTTCTGACAGAATGTTAGCCACTTTTAGAGCGTTTCTGTCAACATCGGCAGCCTCAAAAATACATTTCTGCTAACAACGGCAGTATTTTCACTTCGACCAGGCTCTGCGGCTGGTTTGGACGCCTGTAACATTCTCAAGAGATAACATGAGTATTTGTAATTTCAACGTGTACACGTGCACATTTCTTTTGTATAGTAAGAATTTATCAACTATCAGCTGCATATGATTCCACTAATCAAAACAGTTATGTAGGAGAAATAAAAAGTCTTTATTTATATCAATAATAAATAATATTATCAGCCTCCATCTGTAATTTCAGTTGATCTTGTATTTTCACTTATACTGCAAGTTAAAAGCTCAAATTTGAGACCGTAATATTATTGTTAGCAAGCTTGTCCTATTTACTCAACAAAAAAGGTGAACAAGAATACCTTGGCATGAATTAGATGTTGATGCAAGTCAATCACAAACCTATATTAATATGAGCATATGAGCTTCAAAGATATCTAAGTTACATATAACTATATAGACTTACTTAAATCAAGTATTCTTACCATTACACTCCTGCAGTACTTGCTTACTTTCAGCAAAACTTCGTTATTATCAGGGGCGGGTACAGAACATGGTTTCCTGGGGGGGGGGGGGGGGGGTGACATATAGGGTGGAAGATTTTGATAAAAATAACGCAACAGGCGAAATATTGTGCACTTTTGTTTGAAGATTGGGCCAGCATCTTGTTCATGTAACAAATATTGCAATTTGATGTGTTTAAAAGGTCATCTTATGAGTGGCAATGCACTTTGCTTATATATGTGTATATGATACAGTATATGGAATTAAGAAAAAATATGTGTAACTGAGTGGTGCCTGGGAGGGGTGTCCCCTCCCATAGACAGAGAAAATTTTGAAATATGAGGTTGAAAATCGTGTTATTTCCTTGACTTTCTAGTGCTGTTTATGGTACCTTTTGGATGATTTTACATCCCCTGGTGTTTAGAAGTAAGGATTGTATGCGCGACCGTTGATAAAAATAATTTCAAACACTTCATTAATTTAATCAATTAAAGACGAATTTCCAAAGTAAAGTGGTATTAAATACTCCCTTTCTATTGTGCAAAAACATAATTTCAAACACTAATATTCAATAAGATCTTTTTTCCATCAATGAATCCAGAGGTCAGTCCAATTTAAATTTTATTTAAACAATATAACTGTCATAAAAAGTTATTAAAAGCAAATGACCAATCTTTTCACCTTGATAAAAATCTTTGTTAGTTAATTTCTTAGTTATTAAAATGCGATTCCTTTAATATTATCTTCATAAAACTCGCCATCTTTTTAATTTACAAATAATTTATAGGGCTTTCCTAAAGAAAATGGAAAAAAAAGATAGTTTAATGTGGTCTACTTTTTAGCTCACCTGTCACAGTGACAGGGTGAGTTTTTGTGATCGCTTTTCCTCCGGCGTCCGTCCGTCGTCTGTCCGTAAACTTTTAATTCAAATGACATCTCCTCATAAACCACTAAGCCAATTTCATCCAAACTTCACAGGAATGTTCCTGTGGTGGTCACCTTTAAAAATTCTTCAAAGAATTTAATTCCATGCAGAACTCTGGTTGCCATGGCAACCGAAAGAAAAAACTTTAATTATCTTCTTTTAAAAAACCCAAAGAGCTAGAGCTTAGATATTTGGCATGAAATATCTTCTAGTGAGTGTCTACCAAGTTTGTTCAAATAAAAGCCCTAGGGTCAAAATTGGCCCCGTCCTAGGGGATCATTGATTTTCCCTATATGCATATATGTAACTCATGGCCCTCTTGTTAACTATCTATTTCCCACTAACTGTGACTATTAATTTCATTAGACCTTTGGAAAGTAATTAAACAATCGGTTATGCAGTTCAAACATTGAAGTCAGTCAAGCATGTTGATAGATAAAGATCTCTTCCAAGCCCCAAGGCAGGAGATTAACAACTGGATGACAACAATAAATGTTTTGATAAGGGAGTACACTACAGCCAATAATGTTTGAAACTGACAAAAAATATGTTCCAGCCCAGCTGGTCAACGTATCTTAGGGCCAAGCTGGGGGGAGCTGCAGCCCTGAAGCCCGGGCCTGAATCCGCCACTGAAATTTATAGAGTTTTTATAGACCTAGAAAAAGAAGACAGCAGCGCCTTTTCATGCACCTGCATTGATAGACCCTGCCAGTCCATGTTTATTCGTCTGTTGATCTGTCTGTGGTCAAGTTTGTTGTAACACCTTCATGCTCGTACCCAGACGCACCATACCTTTGGTCAACAGCTTTAGTTAGAATTATTGATGCCATATATGCTGGTCACATCGTCCAGGTCACATTCGTTGCGATTGATCCTGAAATCCTTTCTACGGTCATTCGCACTGTACTTCAATTCTCGCATTACAAAAGTTAGTTCCTTGCGAAAGTGAAAGCAACTAGTACTGGTTGACACCCTGCCATGGAGCGATGCGGTGGCTGAACTGTGTACTGGTAAATTCAATGTTTCAATGTGACTTTCTGCCGTGATCCGGTGTGAAAACTACCAATACGGTAGTACATGAATATGTAAGACTGGGTCAAATATTTTACTACTAGTGCGGCCAAATGCATCTAGACTCCTAGAAAACCAGGACCTTAAATCTTATATTGCATATTTTATACTCCAGTGGCTTAAAAAGTAAAAAAAAAATGTGTCCATAGGACACGGGTGCCCCCACCGCGCCACTGTTCTGTCAATCTTTTACTATGTCAAGGGAAATAACTCTACAAATACTGGATAAATACACAAGCGAAACCCCAGGTGCAAATCTAAATATGCTGAGCAACCTGCCCATAAGGTTTAATGACTATGTCAAATCCTATATGAGTAACTTGCGACACAAGTTGAAAATTGCAAAAATTTCTGATCAATATTCCTGCAAAGTTACATGACTCTAGGTCAAATACTTTTTGAGTTACGTGCGACACAAGTTGAAAATTGCAAAATTTTACTAAGTCAAGGGCAATAACTCCGAGAATACTAAAAATATCCACACGAAAATACCCAGGTGCACAACTACACATGCTGATCAACATTCCTGTAAAGTTTCATGACTCTAGGTCAAATACTTTTTGAGTTACGTGCGACACAAGTTGAAAATTGCAAAATTTTACTAAATCAAGGGCAATAACTCTGAAAATACTAAAAATATCCACACGAAAATACCCAGGTGCACAACTACACATGCTGATCAACATTCCTGTAAAGTTTCATGACTCTAGGTCAAATACTTTTTGAGTTACATGCGACACAAGTTGAAAATTGCAAAATTTTACTATGTCAAGGGCAATAACTCTGAAAATACTAAAAATATCCAGACGAAAACACCCAGGTGCACAACAACACATGCTGATCAACATTCCTGTAAAGTTTCATGACTCTAGGTCAAATACTTTTTGAGTTGCATGCGACACAAGTTGAAAATTGCAAATTTTTACTAAGTCAAGGGCAATAACTCTAAAATTACTAAAAATATCCAGACGAAAATACCCAGGTGCACAACTACACATGCTGATCAACATTCCTGTAAAGTTTCAAGACTCTAGGTCAAATACTTTTTGAGTTACGTGCAACACAAGTTGAAAATTGCAAAATTTTACTAAGTCAAGGGCAATAACTCTGAAAATACTAAAAATATCCACACGAAAATACCCAGGTGCACAACTACACATGCTGATCAACATTCCTGTAAAATTTCATGACTCTAGGTCAAATACTTTTTGAGTTACGTGCGACACAAAAGTGAACGGACGGACGGACGGACAAGGGTAAATCTAAATGCCCGCCACTAACGTGGGGGCACAAAAAAAAACACACTTGTTGATTGCACATTTATTTTAGAAATTAATACTGTACACAGTACAATAATATTACATTTTATACAATATAGCACTATTCTAAATTGTTGCAATAAATCATTATACATGCCATAATCAATAGCTGCCAACACAATAACTTGTATATTTGAATGTCAATGTTATCACTACCACATCAATCACCAAAATATTTTTCTAATCACAAATATCTTAAATTTAAGGATTTAATAACTTACTATTTTAATTTGAACTTAGATTATCACCAATTATTCAATTGCTTTTATAATTGTTCTAAAGAGTGAATGAAAAGGATTTAAAGGCTAACTATCACTAGATGTTTCACCACCATACCACAACGGAATTTCATGCCATTTTTGATATATTCACACTGATTGCATAAACTCAGTCAAAACCTATGTGCATCAAATGAACTTAAGTGGTTCATCACATAACCTAGAATGAATAATCACATGACCTTAAATGAATAATCTCATGTCCTATCCATTCCACATATCCCTTGTTTTCAATTCTGTACACATTATGCTATCAAATTCTTCTTGCTCGTCCTAAAGCTTCACTCAGTATTGTCCTTTTAGGGACAATCAGGTTTGTCATTTTAAGGTCAAGTCGTTTTAAGGTCAATCAAACTTTTTTCTTTTTCCGTCCTCTTTTGCTCTTAGATTTGTTGGGTTTCATACATTTTGGACAGTACCAGGATGAGTCCTCACTCGGTTCCTTCTCTATACCAACACAAACCCTGAAATGATATATAATGAACACTTTTAGTCTTAACCTAAACAACCTGTGAATAAAATGTACATCAGCACAGTGTTATTAAAATTTGGAGTCCAATGGCTACTTTGATCTTAATCTAAAATCTTGATCTCAAAACATAAGTGGTTTTTATGCTTATCTAACTTCAAAACAATGGTTTTCATAAATAACTGCATGAAAACTGTTTCAAGTAAAACCATTAGTCACCTTAGTGCAGTAAAGGATTAAGTCCTTCTAAATTTAATAGGAATTAACCAGTTATTGCACTAAGGTGGTAACATGGTCTCACACTCTCTGTTGAAAACTGGCAAATATCCAATGAAGTTATAGACAAAAGGTGCAACAAGTTATCAAAGTTGAAAAGACAAGGATATCATTATAATGCCTAAAATCAAAATTATAATTCAATTTTTAAAAGCATATATTAGCTTCAGTGACTGAGCCTTTAGCAAAAATCATATAGCCTTTTTGTGCATGAATTCCACACTGGAGACTTAAGCCTTTTGAAATTCACACAAAATGAGATATGGGCAAGTGGTAGAGTCTGTACTTAAAGATACTATCCATCACAAGTCTTATCAATAAACTGCATGCTTAATTTTTTTTTAATGCGTTTATTTAAGGTTGCCGCCGGAAAGCCCATATGGGCCACCATACACTCAAGTAGGGCCATCCTAGAGCGTCCCGTCGAGATTTTTTCGTCAATTTTTTTCCCAGCTTTTATTGGTGGAGGAAGGCCCCAGGTGCCTTCCCGGGCATTATTTCAGGCACGAGCGGTCACCTGGGTAGAACCACCGACCTTCTGTAAGTCTGCTGGATGGCTTCCTCACATGAAAGATTTCGACCTGAGTGAGGATCAAACCTACAGCGGTGAGGGACCTGTGATCTCAAGTCAGCATGCTTAATCACTTGACAAAGACATTTATAACTAGATCTAGTGCTTACTAAAAATTTGTCATGTAAAAACCTTAAACTGGAACTTTTTTGAGAATTGCATAAAGAATGAATGTTAATATCTGATTTTCAATCTTTGACTTGGGTATACACCAAGGTATGCATATCAAAAAAGTTATAATCTCTTATGTTACCTTCACATACAATTATTAACTTCCTACACAATCGAACTAAAGTAAATTCTGTATAAACCAATTATTAACTTTCATATAAAAAAATTAAGCACAAATGGACCAGTCATCTTATACTATGTGAGGATGTGATCGTGAGTACACTAGATATTGTGTACAGTTCGCTTCCTGTATTAACACTGAATGTTTACAAACATAGTAACATAAAACAAATATTTTGCGGAAAAGCTACATTATGTGATGTCATACCAAATCTACAACATACTATAATGCGTTGGTTGAAAACTGAGAAAGAAGGAATAAAAAATTTGCCTGCTAAAAGCATAACCTTTGTGTAAGCTTTATGGTCTGCGCTATAGTAAAGTAAGGTTTCAAGCCATAGTGGCCATGACAAATATACGTACCAGTGATACCATTCATCACAGATGTCACAGCCTATCATCGGGCTACCATCATCCTGCATCGTACATGCCGGACATATCCATATCTTCTCACCAGATTCATTCTGAAATAAATTTATGATAAACTCTTGAAACAGTTCTGAAAATAACTGATTATAATATCAGTTACAAAAATTTCTGACAGGTCATATAATATAATGTAATTGTTAGACGCAGGTTATAAATAACACAAATGTTTAGGTATGATCAACACATTATACTTATTATTATCATTATATATATATTGTTCTAGTGTCTTTAACAAATTTATAATATGAGACAATTGCTTTCTTCGAGTAAATAAAAAAAGGAATCTAGCTGTATATATAAATATCACATAGAAATCAACATTACAAATGAGCAGAATTATAATTATGCTTGGATTAATAAACACACACAAATGTATTTACTGGAATTTTTTTGGATTTTTCTTGGCAGGGTTTTATGTCCAAACCAACACTGTAAAGGTGGTCACATGGTGACTGTCCAGCTTTACTAATAGAGGAAGATTTCAGATGGTTTACAAGCATTATTTCAGGCATGAGCTGGCAACTGAGTAGAACCACCGCATTTCATGAGCTAGCTGGATAGTTTCTTTACATTCGTTAATTTTGTGTAACCACGATATCCAAAAATATGCCGGGGGGGGGGTTAAAAAATTTGTTCAGTTATACCTAAACCTAAAGCTATTTAAAATAATAATGGTAATAATAATACATTGTATGTAAATACAGTATAGTTATATAATAACATATACAAAACAAGAGCACCACTAGGCGGAGCATTATATGCCTGAAAGTGATTTTTTTTTTAGTAAAGATGAAGCATTTGTAAGACATTGGAATTAAATAAAGTATTACCTCCTTCAAATAACAATCCTCCTATGAAGTTTGAATATTGTGGTCCAAATGGAACTTAAGTTATGCCCTGGAAACTGTTTTCAGTTTTAAGGTAATAGTGACATTGACCTTTGACCTTGTGACCCCAAAATCAATAGGGGTCTTCTACCTAATATGGACAATCATCCTATGAAGTTTGAATATTGTGGGCCAAATGGAACTTAAGTTATGCCCCGGAAACTGTTTTCAGTTTTAAGTTAATAGTGACCTTACCTTTGACCTTGTGACCCCAAAATCAATAGGGGTTTTCTACCCAATATGGACAATCATCCTATGAAGTTTGAATATTGTGGGCCAAATGGGACTTAAGTTATGCTCAAGAAACCTTTTTCAATTTCAAAGTAATAGTGACCTTGACCTTTGACCCCAAAATCAATAGGATTCTTCTACCCAATATGGACAACCATCCTATGAAGTTTGAACACTGTGGGCCAAATGGGACTAAAGTTATGCTCCTGAAACTATTTTCAGTTTTAAGGTCATTGTGAGCTTGCCCTTTGACCTTGTGACCCCAAAATCAATAGGGGTCTTCTATCCAATATGGACAATCATCCTGTGAAGTTTGAACACTATGGGCCAAATGGGACTTAAGTTTTGCTCCGGAAACTGTTTTCAGTTTTAAGGTCATAGTGACCTGGACCTTTGACCTTGTGACCCCAAAATCAATAGGGGTCTTCTACCTAATATGGACAATCATTCTACAAAGTTTGAACACTGTGGGCCAAATGGGACTTAAGTTATGCTCCGGAAACTGTTTTCAGTTTTAAGGTCATGGTGACCTTGACCTTTGACCTTGTGACCCAAAAATCAATAGGGGGTCTTCTACCCAATATGGACAATCATCCTATGAAGTTTGAATACTGTGGGCCAAAAGGAACTTAACTTATGCTCCGGAAACGAAATTGCTAACGGACGGACGGATGCCAGGGGGTATAACATAATATGCCTGAAATTCTTTCGGGCATATAATAAACATACTTCACATATTCAACTGAGTTTAACTTCTTTTATTTCTTCATACATTTTTACAATAAATCCCTAGCCTCATTGGTGTAGATTTTAGCTGTATCAATACATCATTTTTATTGAATTTTATTTCAAGCCTAATAGTCTAATTTTTTTTTATAGAGATTAAAGTCTGATAAAAATGTAATCTGGAACTTGGCAAATGAGGGTTTTCCCCATCAAATCATTGGGTTTAAACAAACTTTACAGTTACAACTTCGATAAAAAGCATCATGTGTTGATCAATATTGTGAATGGGAGAGCACTGTTAAACTGTAACAATAAAAGTTTACTTGTCCGTGGATTAGATGGGCAAAAAACCACATTTGCCAAGTTCCAGATAACAGTTATTCATACGAAAATGTGATGAAGTATTAAAACAAACTCTCACCACAAATGTCCCTACAGTCTCTGTAATAACTGTTCTTTGGGCACGCTTCTGAGCAGAGGTAGGAGGCATTGGTGGTAACTCTGGTGGTGGCATTGGTTGTTTACTTGAGGAGCTGGATTCAATTTCATCATCTGTTGATATCTGTCGGGATATGGGCGAGGGTGAAGGTGAATGGGTACGAGATGGAAAAGCTGCTGGGGTAGGAGGTATCTGGAAATGAAGAGGAGAATCCCGTGCTGGTGAGGAAGCTGGGGAATACATTGGTGACGAAGGGAGTGAGGGTGATGGACTTGAGTTACGTCGTGGCGACGGGGTTCTCACTGTTGGGAAGTCAGTGAACGGTAATGATTTTATGGGTGATGTTTTAGGAGGAGACATGCTCCCCTTCTTTTTCGATGTTGGTGAGATTTTTGGTGATTTCTTAGGCGACACTTTACGGGGCGATTTGACAACTTTAACTGTTTTAGCTACTGGTACAGGCAAAGGTTTAGGTGTTAATGATTCCTTCACAAGTGGGGACATTGGCTTCTGCTCTTTCAGCAAAGACCTTGGTTTTGGAGGGGATATTTTCTTAGCAGGTTGGGGAGGAGATGGTGGGGGAGGAGCAGCTTTTAGGGCAGGGATAGTGATAGGGGATGGCACATTTTGTGGAGAAAATGGAGGTGAAATTGGAGAAGCCTCTTTTTCAGACTCTCTCTTAATGGCCGCCACGAGTCCTTCATTATGCTCGCCAAACAATAAACCAGATTCTTCTTTTTTAAACCCATCTCCTTTTGGTCTTCCTTTCTTTCCTGATCCTTTTCGTTTTCCTCTTTTCCCAGGTTTCTTTACAATGACTTTTCCTTTCACAACAGACACAGTCCTCTCCTCTTCACCTGATTTATTTCCTTTCTCATTTGCATCATCGTCATCAGAATTGTCTGAACCACTAGCAGTACTGTATTTAGGCTTTGGGGAGACTGTCCTTGATCCTGGACCAGGCGATGCTCTGGGTGAATCAGTTATCATAGATTCGTGTTTTGGAGTTGCCGATTTTTCTTTTTTGATGGAGGATACCCATGACTGGTCCCCTTCTGCAGAAGCATCAGGTTTTGGTGGTAACATTTTGAATTTCCTGTAAAGGAATGCATATTTATATTTGTTAAAAATCTTATTAAGTGTGTTCAATGTAGTTGTCACATAATTGTTATCATGTTAAAAATAATATTTATAAGCTCAGCAATATACAGTCCAGGACAATTGTTGTTAGTTTAAAAACAAGAGCTGTCCGTAGGACAGCAACGCTCGACTATTCTAAGTGCTTGATAGTAAAAAAGCCTTGATAATGTAAATTTTTCTGAGTAAACAAATGGGCAAATTTTTTCTTTAAATCCATATTACAGTTATAGGTCTTTTATGCTCTCAAAGAAGAGTATAAAATTTCAACTTGTTTCAATGCCATATGTCAATGGACTATATATTTAAGGTATTACAAAAACTTTAACGAAAATTCCAAGTTGAAAAAGACGCATAATTCTGCCAAAATACTTGATAGAGTTACCTTCTCCTGTCTGTAGGTTGGGGTCATGATGGTGAACAAGTGTGCAAAGTTTCAAAGCCATATGTCAATGGACTTTGAAAATATTTGAGGTATTACAAAAACTTTAACATAAGTGGTTACGCCGATGCCGAGGTCGACGCTCCGATGACTACAATAGCTCTACTTATTCTTATCGAATAGTCGAGCTAAAAACTACAGCAATTCAAATTTTGCATGTTTTTTTGGAACAATCAAATAATTTTCTTTAGCTAAAAAGTACCAAAGGTTAGTTAAGACAGGAATGAATTTAATGAGTAAAACAAAACAGCACTGACAAAATTTGTATCCTGGACTTACATTTCTGTATTGATATTCCATTAGAAGAATTACAAAAAGTAACAACTTTTCAATAAAGGCATCAACGGCTACTTGTAGCAGCCATAGTGCTTACTACCAATATAATGCCACTAGCGGATTGACATGGTACCCCACCCAGTGGCTTTATACTTAAACAGATATGATCAGTCCTGAAACTATATTTGTAAGTTTGAGTCCAAAGCAGGGATGAGTTACTTTAGTACAATCGTATAACTGTACTCAGTATGACGGTGGAACATACTACAGGACAACTACAAGGCAGACAACCTGTATCATTCTAGGCATTAGAGAAAAACTGAAAGCAGCCTTAATCTATAATAATTTCTTTTCCAAAATGGTAACAACAAGACATATTTTTGGATTTTACATTACACCAACACAGTAGAGGTCATATGGCAATTTTCCGAAATTCCTGATTTTTTTCTGCGTTAAATAAAGATTAAAAAAGTTTTGGGAAAAAAAAAAACCCATATAAAATGGTATAAGGTACTCACAATTTTGGAATTTCTGGTCGACTCACTGGTGACACTGACCCTGGCTTTGGTGATGCCTCAGGTTTAGCAGTAGTGATACTGAATGACTTGGGCGATGACGATGATCCACCGCCAAATTTTATCTTCAACTTTTGAAGAGGCACTACTGACGGAGACTCTTCCCTCTGTTCTTTCTCTCGATCCTTCTCTTTTTTCTCCTGAACAAAAAAATGAGCCGCGTCATGACAAAACCAACATAGTGTGTTTGCGACCAGCATGGATCCAGACCAGCCTGCGCATCTGCGCAGTCTGATCAGGATCCATGCTGTTCGCTTACCAACTTACCAACTCTATTACAAGTAGAGAAACTGATAGCGAACAGCATGGATCCTGATCAGACTGCGCGGATACGCAGGCTGGTCTGGATCCATGCTGGTCGCAAACGCACTATGTTGGTTTTGTCGTGACGTGGCTCAAATATCATCCTAAGCACACTATACAAGACTTACTTATACATGTATATCATATTAAGAAAGTGAAAATATAAAAAGCAATATTTGTACATTCAGCATGTTACAAATAATCATTGTATCATAGTTTGGAGACCTTTCTGTTGAAAATGTGCCAGGGTTAAATCGTATACATATACATGCACAGTGTGTTAACTGGAGTGCGGGTATTAGTTACCCGCACTCCAGAGCATGCCCATTGATTGGCTCATTTTTGCTGGGGTTTACATATTGTGACGGCAGAGAAAGGGAAAGCGACAGAAATGTCATATCCAGATGTTCATTCATTGGTTCATTTTTGCCGGGGTTTCATATTGTGATACAGGGAACGTGCGTTTATGTTTGACTATGATACAAAAGAGAAAGAACACCAAAACATTCGGCAATCTGATTTATACTCGGGGGCTATGCTCCCTCGTACAAATCAGATAGCCTCGTGTTTCAGTGCTCTTTCTATTACATATATTTAATGTAGGTTTAATGTAAAATAAGCAGCATTCAATCAAAATGTAATTTAACAAGAACAATAGTAATGTTTCAGTGCAAATGATGAATTTATTTGTCATTTGATTTTACTGACATATACCATAAAATGTATTAATAATAATGCTTGGTTTCCATGAAACAAATATTTAAAAGAGAAAAAAAACAACATAGTTATGAACAGTTAATTATTGAACATTCAACGGTTTATCAAGCTATCTTATGAATGTATTTGTTCCAGTTGTGATGAAATAACACAAGAAGGGGCACCTGAGGTCATGATGCACAACATTACACATGTATGTGCCTATATAAACTCTGTAAATAACCAAGGTATATCAAATGAAAACCGAAGAGTCATCTGTCCTAAATTGCAAGTTAAATAGATGGTAAAATGATACAATAAAGCTGGTTTTCAGTGCTAGTTAATTGTGATTTATTGTCCGATTTTCAAAATTCTTACACCACCGAAAAGCTTGTGTTCTTAGCTTTACATTAATGAACTTCAACATATCTTTTAATGCCAAAGGTCCTTAAATGAACTGTTATAAACTTACCACTGGTCAGACGATTTTCATTCGATATATACAGAGAGCTATGCAGCCTGTTATCTTTACTCGAAACACAACCGACAAGAAAAGCCTGTCGTCTGCTAGTTTGGACACTGTTTATCTGTGTATTCTGTGGTGTTCTTTAACAAATTTTGCATTACAAAATAGCAATTACCTTATGTTTCTCTTTCTTCTCTTTGTCATCTTCTTTCTCCTTCTCTCTATCCTTGTTTTTCTTCTTCTTTTTCTTTTTATCTTTCCTGTGTTCCTAAAATTCAAATTAAACATTTTACTTTTAGGGTGTTTATGCGTTTAATGCACAATGCACTGCTAAATCTCATTAGATTTGCCCTTTTTAACTTGAAATATGAGTAAAACATTTGAAGATATCTTAAAGGAAAATTTAACAGAAGCAGAAAACTCTCAGCAGCTTGATGAAGCAATATGTACAAAGATGTGACAACAGGATATGACTTAATGCATCTTATTCAAAATTCAAAGCAGTACACATATTTAATATACTTTTCTACAATTTGGCAATTTATTCACTGTGTGTTTAGGGTTATTTAGTCTCGATACTCATGTTAATCTTTATGTTAACTTAAAAGAGTATTAATGTTATATATGGTTCAAATTCAATGGATTCACCTAATCAAAGGCACTTACTATTCACAGAAAAATTATCTATTACTTGTGAAATGTGAACAATGTTCTTGTACTGTGCTAGTAAAAGGGTTATACTTTGGATGTTAAGAATGTTATCTCTGGAACATTTTACACCACACATTAAAAGTTTTACACTGACTGAGATTATTTATGCATTATAAATATATTTCTCATAATCTTTTGACAATTTATTTTACTCATCTGGAGAAGTGCTTCCTTTAACAATTATCAATCACTTATAAAGTATAACCATTTACCTTTGATCTATCTCTGTCCCTATCTTTACTATGCTCTTTACTTTCCCTATCTCTACTGTGTTCTTTATGCTCTCTGTCTTTACTGTGTTCTTTATGTTCTCTCTCCTTACTGTGTTCTTTACGATCTCTTTCTCTGCTGTGCTCTTTGTAATCTCTGTCCATACTATGCTCTTTATAATCTCTATCCCTGTAATGTTCTTTATGTTCTTTCTCCTTGATGTCTTTATCTCTATTATGCTCTTTATAATCTCTGTCTTTTTCCCTGTCCCTGTGCTCTTTATGTTCTCTTTCTTTATTGTACTCTCTATCTCTGCTATATTCCCTCTGCTCTTTTTCTCTGTAATGTTCTTTATGATCTCTATCTCTATGATGTTCTTTAAGTTCCCTATCTCTTTCTTTGCTGCGATCTTTGTGATCTCTTTCTTTATCGCGATTATCTCTATTCTTTTCTTTATGTTCTTTCTTATATCCACTTATTTCTTTATCTCTAATATGTTCTTTATAATCTCTTTCGCTACTGCTGTCTTTGTAATCTCTTTCCCAGCTCTTTTCTTTATCATATTTGTCTTTGTGATCAAAATCTCGTTCTTGTTTTATCTCCCTTTCAGCCTCCCATGACCTCTCTTTACTTATATCTCTCATGAGCAGATCCTTTGCTGGGGAAGATTCTGAGAAAGAAAGAATAGCTGTCATAAGACTTAACATAACCATGATAAATATCTTAAATGGACTTGTCCATCTTTCAATATGGGCAAAACTATTCACCAATATAAACAAGAGGGCCATGATGGCCCTGAGGTCGCTCACCTGTATATAGGTCCCCGGAGCGGGGCCAGTTTAAACCCCAGGGCTTTTATTTGAGCAAACTTGGAAGACACCCATTAGAAGATGTTTCATGATGTTAAGTTTTTACTACACACATATAATGAAAAACAATGACCTCCGCCCACCCCCCCCCCCCGGCCCCCCTTTGGCAGGGCCAATTTAAACCCAATGGTTTTTATTTGGACAAACTTGGTAGACACCAACAAAAAGATGTTTCCTGCTTAAAATCTAACCTCTAGCTCAATGGGTTTTTTAAAAGAAGATTTATAGTTAAAAACAATGACACCTCTGGGGCGGGGCCAGTTTTAACCCCAGGGCTTTTATTTGAACAAACTTTGTAGACACTTACTAGAAGATGTTTCATTCTTAATATCTAAACTCTAGCTATTTGGGTTTTTTCAAAGAAGATTTTTAAGTTTTTGCCATACACATATAAGAAAAATCAATGAACCCCCGGGGCGGGGCCAATTTTGACCCCAGGGCTTTTATTTGAACAAACTTTGTAGACACCCATTAGAACATGTTTCATGCTAAATATCTTAGCTCTAGCTCTTTGGGTTCTTTAAAAGAAGACTTTTTAAGTTTTTACTATAATTGCATATAGGGAAAATCAATGACCCCCTGGGGTGGGGCCAGTTTTGACCCTAGGGTTTTTATTTGAACAAACTTGGTAGACACTCACTAGAAGATGTTTCATGCTTAATATCTAAACTCTAGCTATATGGGTTTTTTCAAAGAAGATTTTTTAAGTTTTTACTATACACATATAAGGAAAATCAATGACCCCCCTGGGGCTGGGCCAATTTTGACCCCAGGGCTTTTATTTGAACAAACTTTGTAGACACCTATTAGAACATGTTTCATGCTAAATATCTTAGCTCTAGCTCTTTGGGTTCTTTGAAAGAAGATTTTTTAAGTTTTTACTACATGCATATAGGGAAAATCAATGACCCCCTGGGGCGGGGCCAATTTTGACCCCAGGGCTTTTATTTGAACAAACTTGGTAGACACCCATTAGAAGATGTTTCATGCTAAATATCTTAGCTCTAGCTCTTTGAGTTCTTTAAAAGAAGAGTTTTTAAGTTTTTACTATATGCATATAGGGAAAATCAATGACCCCCTGGGGCGGGGCCAATTTTGACCCCAGGGCTTTTATTTGAACAAACTTGGTAGACACTCACTAGAAGATGTTTCATGCCAAATATCTAAGCTATAGCTCTTTGGGTTTTTTAGAAGAAGATATTTAAAGTTTTTTCTTTTGGTTGCCATGGCAACCAGAGTTCTGCATGGAATTAAATTCTTTGAACAATTTTTAAAGGTGACCCCCAAAGGAACATTCCTGTGAAGTTTGGATGAAATTGGCTTAGTGGTTTATGAGGAGATGTCATTTAAAGTAAAAGTTTACGGACGGACGACGGACCATCTTTCATTCTGGACAAAACCATTCACCAATATTTGGGAACATTTCTAAATATGTATTAATGAATAGCAAACAGGGCAGACCATGATCAGACAGCACAGTCACATGGATCAAGGATCAGTTTGGACTTAATTCTATAAGATTTTAGAAACATTAAGTCAAAATATGACTTAATGATTATGAATGGGGAATAATATTAAAGAAAGCAAATATATTTTTTTTTTATAGATATGCAAATGCTGAATCCTTCAAATATGAAAATGTTACTACATGTATCTAAATATATGTTATCAAGGCATGAAAATTTATACATTTTTATATTCTTATAATGCTCCTCTTGAATTCATCCCGTGTTCAAAAAAATTCTTGTCTTAAAATGAAAATAAAAGCTATAATCCAAACTAAACGAAAAACAGGCCTCTTTAGTTTTTGCAAGTACATGTATATTTACTGGATTCCATACAACTTTGATGCCTTACAAAAATGATAAAACAGATGCCATATGGAAGTTTTAAACAGACAGACAAATGCTATGCATAATGATGTTAATATCAGTAAAAATAAAAAATCACTGTAAAGTTTTCAGTTTTCCATGATTTTTTTTTAACATTATCTCAATTTCTGACCTACCTTTCGATGAAGGAAAATGTGTATTGTCATCAGATGCTGGTTCTCGTCCAAAAGGTATTGATCGAACTGATCCTGGAGACATTCCAGGGGAGACATCCCTTGAGCCAGATGATTCAGCCGGTTCTGTCGGTGCTGGACTTGGCATAGATGAAGATCTATCTTCTGCTGATGGTGTCCTGCTAATCGGAACAGGCGATACCTTTTTCTCAGGTGACTTTGAAGCTGGTGATCGTGATGGAAACTCAAACAGAGTGGCTTCTGAATCTGTGTTATCCAGCTTGAAAATATGCGTACTAGAATCATTTGAGTCATTGTTTTCATCAAACTTCAGGTGAGAAATAGCTCTAGGGCTTCCTCCTCTTGGACTTGCTCCCCTACTTCTAGGGCTCTTTGATCCCCTCGGTCTGCCTCTTGGTCGTGGACTCAAACCAGAACCTTTTGGTCTTCCTGGACTTCGCCCACTACTTGGTCTGCCTGGACTTCGGTTCAAGGGTGGACGACCTGGACTTCTATTCAGAGGTGGTCTTCCAGGACTGCGATTGAGTGGTGGCCGTCCCGGGCTACCTCTGTGCAACGGTGGCCTTCCCCGTCTTCCGCTCACTGGTGACCTACCAGCATAGCTTCTATAAAATCCACTTCCACTACCTCTTGGGCGACCCCTAGGTCTTGGGCTTACTGATGTTCCTGACCCAATCAAAAATTTAAGATGAGGGGCAATGGTAGTTGGTGGTGGAGAAGTAAATGAACCGTCTGGTTCAGATCGTGACGAAGGCTCTGTTTTATTTTCGCTCTCTTCCTCATCTTCTTTAATATAAGATTCGCTGATGTGACTCACACGCCACTCATCCACTGCTTTTGATTTCTTCTCTTTTGAAACGGTTGGCTCTTTGTGCACTGATTTTTCAAAGTCTGGTTCTGAACACTTATTCCCTATAACGGAATCTATTGTGTCCTCATAATCGCGTTCTTGCTGTTTACTTAGAGCTGTCACTTTCGGTCGGTAATCCAAATATTTCAAGAGTTCTGGTTCCTTCCCCTGATCCTCTGTTTTGACAACACTGATGTTCGGTGGAGGAGGTGTGGGCTTAAGAGACAAATCTATGGGTCCTTCCTGTCCTGCTGTAGCCATTGGATTTGTTCCTGAAACAGCTGATATCTTTGAAAATCCAATTGATCCTTTAGTGTGAACTACAGCTGCTCTCCCTGGAGAACGTGGCCGTCCTGGACCTCTTTTTATTTTGAATGGTTTCTGTGATAACTTATCCCGTTTAAATTCTTTCAATTTCTTCTTTGCCTTTGGTTTATACTCTGGATCATTTAGGTCAAAGTCAAAAGCTCCTGCATCCTTCTCTTTGTTTCCAACTTCAACGATATGACCGCCTTTGTTTGGATCTTTGTTAAAGTCTAGCTTAATAACAGATGCATCTGTCGGCAAATGAATTCCCGGTGTTGAAGCTTGTCCAGCGTTTTTCTGCCGAACAATGACAATCTGTTTGAAGCCCGCAGGAGGGGCCTTGGAGTCCGGCACCTTGCCCTCCCTGATGGGAGAAAGTATACCACTATGAGTCATCACAACACTGGTCATCTCATATTGCGACTGGGAAGCTTCTTCTGGCAAAGGCTGCGATGTTGTCAACCTGAAATAGGTAACAAAACTTTCAATACAAGTAACAAGCATGAGGAAAAGAAAATTATCAGATATTTTTAATTGACTCTAATAGTTTATTATCATATTTGTCAAGCTATAAATTACAGACTATATCAAAAATTCTTCAAAAACTGTATAATCATATTGTTTCATATTCTCATGTTTCTAAATTATTGATAATAATTTATTGGGAAAGAGTTTTAGCAAAAAGGTGTAATCTATTATCTTATACAAATGGATTATATATGAAAACAGAATAAAATGTTGAAAAACAAAATATTCAGCTGCTATTATGATTTCATACAGGCACCCTGCACATTACTATTAATTCAAAATGATTATTTCATCAGTTAAGGTAATTTGGCAAAATAAATAGGCAAACTTATATTCTTATTTTATAGATATTGCTTTTATACCCTTTTAAGAGCCTAAAATGGCTTATTTACCCTTTAATGCGGAACATTTAAGTTATCAGAATAAGGACTAAATATAATGTTAAAGATAAAAAAATTTCATACACATTGGATGAACACGCACCTTTGTCTTTTAAATGGTGGGACTGAACCATCACCTGGACTAGGTACCGGCCTTTTGTCACCAGGACTTGGGCTCAATTCTACAACTGGTGGCTCCACCTGTAGTCTTTCTGGGCTGGCTGGTCTTGCTGATTGGTTTGTATCTTCAGGTTCTTCTTCTGTAAATATCAATAAACATTTACTTTGCCTTCATGTCAACAACATTTAAATAGAAAGTTTACTAAATGAACTTAAACTCTGAATTGGCCCTGATAAAAATCATTACCCTGTACAAGAATACATCTGTTACCTCATATAACTAGCAGTGTCTTTACATGACAGGGATGCCCCCCACATTCCACTGATTTGTCAGTCTATAGATGGTCAGCAAGACTGACAGACAAGGGCAAATGTTTATGCCCACCACCTTAATTGTAAGAGCAAAAAAAATGAAAGCAGTACAACTCCATATATTTTAGTTTATCATTATTGTTTAAATAAAGGTTATATATAAAACTTGTAGCTGATTCTTTTGAACCACTGTCAAGTCTCCTTCCTTGATCTAGCTTGTAGTGATGTCATATGAGGAAATCAGGGTTGTGAATCTAGATGGTCACATGTACCCACGATCCATAGGTTGAAATGCAAACACCTTGATCAGAGTAGCCCATCTGTCCATGTGTATGTAGCTTTATTTGTTAAAGTAAAATGACATTGCAATACCAATATATGACAAAATCTATGTGTTTTAATAAATGCTAACACATATAACTACATTATAAACACATACATTTAACCGAGCATTTTACTATGGTTGATAAAACATACACATTTTAGTATAATTACTAACACTATCTTAATTTTTTATTTAATTGATCTATTGCACAAATGTACAAAACTGTTTGTCGGTATCATATTTTGCCAATTAATAAGGAATTTTTAACAACTATGGTGAGACATTTACATATTTCCCTACAGAGCTACAATACTCGTCTCCCACAAATATACAATGCCATTTATTATTCCTGGTACAATAGTATATCTGTGCTTACCAAAGTAATTTAGTATCATCATAAACTTGTGAAAATATGCTTTGTTTTCATTTATCATTGAAATTCAAACATGGTATTTTAGCAAAAACCAGTAGTATTAGCTAAAAGAATTCAAAGGAAGATGGCAGTATTTCTGTTAAAATGAAAGCAGCTACATTGCGTCAATGATCATCTGTATGCTGAATGGAAAGCTATGTCACATATGAACCGCGTCACGACGAAACCAACATAATGGGTGTGCGACCAGTATGGATCCAGACCAGCCTGCGCATCCGCGCAGTCTGATCAGGGTCCATGCTGTTCGCTACCAGTTTCTCTACTTGTTATACGGTTTGTAAGCGAACAGCATGGATACTGATCAGACTCACGGATGCGCAGGCTGGTCTGTATCCATGCTGGTCCCAAACGCATTATGTTGGTTTTGTCATGACGCGGCTCATATAATAACTCACTGCCTTCAGAAACTAACACATACATTGTCATGTATGGTAATTCAAAGTCATCCTTAATAACTACTAAGCCACCTGATTGGTCCAAGAAATGTTTGTGAAAATACTTTTGCAAAAAAAAAAGAAGACATTTTTCAAAGTACCATTTAGTTCTGGGTGCATGTATGGTAGATATTCTGGGACATATTCGAACACCTTCCTCTGCTGTACTTCTGTACTGTCAGGATTTGGGAACTTTAAGTCATTTTCCTGGGGTGTTGGGTATGACACAATTTCCTTGGCAAATGGTAATGGATCCACATGTTTGACATAATCTTCTAATTCGTGCACTTGAACACCCATGTGTGTAAATGCCATGAATACATCTTCGAGGCGAGCATCTGTCCGTCCAACTGAAATTTTGTTAAAAAATCTTGTTCTCTTGAAAACGGAACAGTCAACTAGAAAATGCTATGCTTGTAATGTTTATTTACTGACTGACCACTTACTATATTATGTTTTAAAAGAATAAAGTGTTACATTTTATAAATGGGCGTTTCAAAGGGTAACCTTTTTAATAAATAATCTTTATTTACAAGTACTTTCACTGTAAGCAATGTACAACTTATTTATTTCTTTAACTTACATTGTTCTGAGTATCTATGGGTCACTTTGCCTACTTGAACCAAGTACCTCTCTAGGACATCTGTCAAAAGCTCCATGGGTGTTGTATGTATAGAGTTCCATCCCAGGTGTTGACAGATCTGTGCCACTGCCACACGCAGACATGCTCGGCTATATTCCTGTGTCATTCTGATAACCAAAAAAAAATGTAATTGTAAAGACATTACAATGTTTCAACTGAAAATATTTGTAAAATAATAAAAATAACAGCAAGGTTACAATTCAAAAAGGTGTAACAGTAAATCACCAGACTTATGACAGCATAATGGTCTGTTGATGTAGGGTTTTAGAAATTATCCTTCAAATCTTTTCAATTACTTTTTTATGCCGTAAAGGTACAATGTTTTCCATCTGGAACAATCCACATTTTTTTATACAGTTTTTTCCCTTTTCAAACTCTGACACCCGGCCCCACCCTACTCTGCTTATTTATCAACTGCATAAATGCAACAGAGACAGCTTAACATATTTTCAAGGTTTGTGACACCTACTTTTTCTCCTATTCTCAAAATCTTGATGAAAACCCTAACTGACTGTCTAGCATTGTTAAGCATTGCGCTCAGTAAATTTAAGCTAATAAATTATTAATAATTATTCTTTCTCAGGACCCTCAATCCAATTTGTGATACGATTTGCTATTATGGGACATTTTGAAATGGGAATGAAAATCTTCATGGTGCACCCATATAAATATCAAACTATGTAAAACGGTAAACGGTGCATACATACAATATTCCGCTGACAAGAAGGTGCCCGAGAAAAACGCTGTGAATCAGCGTGTTTTGCTTGTCGAAAACAGCATAACTTTGATTTTTTTCTGGGAAATTTAAGATATTTTGAGGGGGAATTTTAACCTTTGTCAGGGAAAAAAAACCATACTTTTTTGGTGGGGGACTGCGGCCGATCGAGAGCTCTGTTTCTGTTGTAATTATAACTAATAAAATTTCAGCTTGTGAATAATATTGTTAAGACAATGCACGGGCAGCAGGAAATACCCAAATACACCCAAATATACCCAAATATTGCCCAAATATACCCAAATATTGCCCAATTATACTAAAAATAACTGTTTTATACTAAAAAAGTGCTGTTTTAATCATGAATACAACATACACTTTCACTAATATATATTCAAACATACCCAAATATAATTTTTCCTATCATTGTGATTTGAACCATTAAAGCTATTTTTTTAAATAACATGGACACTTGACACATATGAAATTTCAACAAAATTACACCTTTAAAATGTAATTGTAGACAACAAATATCATATCTTGATTTAAAATTGCAAGTACATTCATAAAGAACCTATACTCAGTATAGTAGATAAGCAAATGTCACAACTTTATTTTCTTACAACATCTAAACTGCCCATTTCAACGGAATGAATGAAAGTTAAAGCAGACTAAGTAATATTATTTTTATAAATATTTATTTATTTCTCATTATAATCTATATTTTATACAAACAAAATTAAATATTGCTATATTTGGGTATTATACCGTATATTTGGGTATTTCGTGCCGCCGCAATGCACTTCACTTTTTGTCATTAAAACTTTACAAGATCTATCACATCATAAACATCTCAGTGTTGTTTTCTAACTTTTGGGGGAAGAGGGTCGTGCCCTTTTTAGGGGGGAAAAATGCAATAGGAGGGGGAATTTTATTTCTTCACAAATGAGAAGAAACGAAAAAGAATGCAGAGCATATTTTAATATACCACAAGTTTACCACTGTAAGATTTACTTTTGAGCGACATTGTTTTCTTTCAGGTAGAAAAGGGGAGCAACTCTTGCAACACAAGTTTAAAATATGTCGCTTTTTCTTAATATACGGATCTAAAATATCGACAGCAGAATTTAAAGCATTGCATTTTAAACTTTAAATTTCGGCACTTGGCCGCCATATTGCCAAAATGTTTGACCACGTGATTACGAGATTGACCTTTACGAACCCATGTGCTTCCAATATTTTTATAAATTACTTTTTTTAAAGATATTGAAAAGGGTGATTTACTGACTTTTGTATTCAATAAAAAAATTCTAAAATAACTAAAAATTTCATGAAAATAAATAAAAACATTATCTTGAATAAAAATATTGAAATCATGTCAAGAAAGATGTTCTAAATATAGCACACGACTCTATTCTAATCGGTTCCCGCGAATGACGTCATACGAGATCTCGCATGGCACCTAAATGTCATGGCCGACTGTAGCCGGTGTAACTGATGTTTTACACTTAAATAGTCAATTTTAATGATGGTATTAATATTTTGATACTTTAATTGGTATAGAACAATATTAAAATATTGTTTTATCGTATAAAAAGCACAAGAATTGATTGCAGTGTTTTTTTTCAGTTTTGGGGGAAGGGGGTCAGTGCCCATTGGGTGGGGAAAAATAGCGCGTAAATGCCAAAAAAGGGGAATTTTCAGTGTTATTAATATTCAATAAAAAGACTAAAAATACATGATTTTTTAACAATCCTATAAAATAAATAAAATAACTAATTGAAATTAGTTAACAACTTTATTAACTGAGTGACTTCAGTTCAGTTTGATTCTTGTTTGGGTTTATTTTTTTGACGGTGGGGAATTTTCGCAATTTCATGGGGAAAAATATATATTCCGAGAGGTGGGGAAAGGGGCCGAATATCGCCGAATATTTCGACCAAAAAAAACACTGGATTGGGTCAAGTGTATTTGCAAGTGAAAAATAAGGTCAAATCAACTTAGGTTAGGTTTCGTAACGGGTTTTATCCAAAACTTTAATGCCGCATCAGATGAAAGACAAAAATGTTAAATAGCGGCTCAGCCAGAACTACATGAACTAAGACCTGATCAATTGCAGGGTTCCCGCTGTCGCTCGCCAATGGCGCCAAATGCGACAAAATATTAATTCTGGCGCATAAAATCTTCAATTGGCGAATTTTACTGGCGCCAACGTAAGATAAAAGCATCCGACAACTAGTACACTTAAATATCATAAGCGGCCGCGTCAATTACATAAGCGGCCCTAATGTGAAAGGTCACGCGCAATTAGTTTGTTTATCAAACTGTATCATCAATTATGTCATCAATTGTGTGACACTTCGGGAAAATGACAAGATTAAAGTGTCAATGTGTTAATTGGAACAATTTACGTCTTTAATCCTCTGACTTGGAGCACTGATAATTACAAATGTGGTCAAATGGTGTTAGTAGCGAATCAGAGAAATGAAAGATCGTCCGTGATGTTGACAAACATTGAACTTTAGGTAAGTTGGCTCGTCAACTGATTTAAATAATTACAGTTTAAATATAAAATCGGATGACAATTAAAAGAATAATTTCACTAATGATTGATCTAAAGCCACAGTTTACTGCAGCGTTAATATTTTCATATCTGAATGTAAAATGCTGAAATGTCTAATCACATGCAAAACCTATTAAAATAAACAATATTCTTCATTGTTAAAAAGTACTTCGTATCTATTTCATTTTTGATCTTATTGATTTTTAGATGAAGTCAATTTACAGTAATGTTTTTTTTTTATTTTGTATCTGTAGATCACCAGAATGTCAGGTAGAAGCTGGAAAGATCATGGCTCAGTCCAGTCAGTGAGAATGAATAAGTGATAAGAACTGCTATAGGCAAAACAGTGGAAAACAGTACCTCCAAACCTCACTACTAACTTAAAATGATGTTTTTGATTATACTTATACGCAGAAAGCCCGAGCGGGGCCAAAGGCCCCACGAGGGCTGTAGCGCTCTTAGATAACATGTATGACGCGTATTAATTCAAATGAAATCAAAATAAAAGTAAATGAAAATTTCAAAAAATATATATCCTATAACTAATGAGCTGTGAAAAAAACCTTAGTTTACTGGGCGCCGCCATTTTGAAATCCTTTTGAGCTAAATATAGATATCAGAGCGCTTTTAATGAGCGTCTACATAATTCAGACTATTGCTAGCAGACGCATGCTAAATAACACTTTCGGTGAAAGAATGATGTACAAAATCCGAAAATAAATATGCATTTCATCGATAAGAACTATAGTAACCACTATAAATATACAAAAGTTACTTTAACATATATTTTTATAAATAAGCACATTAAAAAATAACGTTAAAACAACAACTGTGATTAGAGATTAACAAAAATGGCGGACGGGATTTCCAAACGCCGACGTATGCGCAGTGATCCCCTTTACGTTCGGAGATTTTCGGAATATTCCGAGCGCTCCGATGATAGGTTGAACACCACCAATTTATTCGTTTTGTTTACGGTACAAAATACCTGCCTGGTTTATCATAATTCATAAGAGCTTTCCGCGCCATAGGTAGCACCTAATTTCATATTAATGTCACATGTATCTATTCAAATGAAATTTGAAAACCACATAATACTATGTCCATATTTTAGATAATAAACATGTGCAGCTGTAATAAAATGAAACATTATAAATATGTGTTTTTAATCTTAATGATATATAACTGCTACACTAACAAAGTTCTATGCTCCTGCGTTTATGAATAAATTATGCAAATGAGCCACGTTGAGCCGCCATGTTGGAGTTTCGGTAAGCGTGTTGGAAATTGCTACCTGTTCGTTTTGAAAGCTCGTCCTAACTTACAGTTTCCTTGAATGTAGGAAAACTTGGTTTTGTTTGATTGCATACTGAATGATAGGTATTACAAAATAAATATAATGAAAATCGATCAATCAATAATTGTATACGAGCGTTATAAAGTCAATTTAATTCGTCAGAATAATAAGATTCTGTTGCAGGGTATCGGTAAAAGACTGCTTTTTTTCCCATTTTTGAAATTTATTTGAACACGGAGACAATTTTTCTCAAACAGGTTTATGAATATACTTTACGTTGCAACAGAGTTTACCGTGTGTCCATTCCTTATTTAAATTGTCTAAGAAGTTAAATCTGTTTGTTTACATGTAAATGTGTACCGTCATTTTGACCGACTGGAATAAAAACTATTATGACAGTGATAATACCGGATATGTAATGAAAATTACGCCGTGTAGTGCAAAGTTTTCGACATTGCAATTAAAATTAACGCTTACGTTGATTTAAAACTGTTCCTTGTCAGCAAAATTGAAACCGAAAGTAGTGGTTGTTCTAGAATTTAATCGAATAAAATGGGTGGGATTTAACCACCGCGCATGCCCTGTGCGAACGTATTGTTTACATCCGGTCGTAGCATAGGGTAAGAGTGCAAACTTTGTTAGTGCAACGCACTAACAAAGTTCTATGCTCCTGCGTTTATGAATAAATTATGCAAATGAGCCACGTTGAGCCGCCATGTTGGAGTTTCGGTAAGCGTGTTGGAAATTGCTACCTGTTCGTTTTGAAAGCTCGTCCTAACTTACAGTTTCCTTGAATGTAGGAAAACTTGGTTTTGTTTGATTGCATACTGAATGATAAGTATTACAAAATAAATATAATGAAAATCGATCAATCAATAATTGTATACGAGCGTTATAAAGTCAATTTAATTCGTCAGAATAATAAGATTCTGTTGCAGGGTATCGGTAAAAGACTGCTTTTTTTCCCGTTTTTGAAATTTATTTGAACACGGAGACAATTTTTCTCAAACAGGTTTATGAATATACTTTACGTTGCAACAGAGTTTACCGTGTGTCCATTCCTTATTTAAATTGTCTAAGAAGTTAAATCTGTTTGTTTACATGTAAATGTGTACCGTCATTTTGACCGACTGGAATAAAAACTATTATGACGGTGATAATACCGGATATGTAATGAAAATTACGCCGTGTAGTGCAAAGTTTTCGACATTGCAATTAAAATTAACGCTTACGTTGATTCAAACTGTTCCTTGTCAGCAAAATTGAAACCGAAAGTAGTGGTTGTTCTAGAATTTAATCGAATAAAATGGGTGGGATTTAACCACCGCGCATGCCCTGTGCAAACGTATTGTAATTTGTTTACATCCGGTCGTAGCATAGGGTAAGAGTGCAAACTTTGTTAGTGTGCTAAAGATAGGCATGTCTCCCTTGCAGAATTACTGGCTCCATATTGGCTCCAACTTTGGAGCCATTGGCTCCAACTTTTTCTAATTGGCGAATTTGGTGGCGCAAACTAAATTATTTTGACCCAGAGGGAACCCTGAATTGTACCTCATTTAAATACCGTTTAATAAAAGAGACAGCCATTTACACGGATAAATGAAACGTCCAACAATATGATAAATGAAAGTTTGACAGTAAAAACGTAGTTACCTTAATGCATTTTGTTTTAAACAAGGTATAAACAATAAAATCTAAATTTCAACATTGTAAATGTAAACTTGTCGCCATCTTGAAAAATAGTTCAGCTTTTTCACCGTACACGTTCATATACCGGATTTCTTTTTTTTTATATTGTGGTTGTCAAGTAATAAATTTTACAAAGTTCGTATCTTTTATTATCTATACAATAAGCCATGTTTACGGGTTTTTTACACAGAATTAACCGTTCTTCGGATGAAAATTCATCTGCTTATTGCTTATTTTTCAGAAATGCTACGCAAATAATACTGTATAGATTATGTATAATTATTGGAAATTTACTGCAGTACAGTATGTATTGCTATTAAAACAAGAGGGCCATGATGGCTCTGAAGTCGCTCACCTGTATATAGGCCCCCGGAGCGGGGCCAGTTTAAACCCCAGGGCTTTTATTTGAACAAACTTGGTAGACACCCATTAGAAGATATTTCATGCTTAACATCTAAGGTCTAGCTGGTCAAGTTTTTTTCTTTGCACATATAGTTAAAAACAATGACACACCTGGAGCAGGGCCAGTTTTGACCCAAGGGCTTTTATTTGAACAATCTTTGTAGACACTTACTAGAAAATGTTTCATGCTTAATATCTAAACTCTAGCTATTCGGTTTTTTTTCAAGAAGACTTTTAAGTTTTTGCTATACACGTACATATAAGGAAAATCAATGTCAGCCCGGGCGGGGCCAGTTTTGACCCAAGGGCTTTTATTTGAACAAACAACATGTTTCATGCCAAATATCTAAGCTCTAGCTCTTTGGGTTTTTTAGAAGAAGATTTTTAAGTTTTTACTATATGCATATAGGGAAAATCAATGACCTCCTGGGGCGGGGCCAATTTTGACCCCTGGGCTTTTATTTGAACAATCTTGGTAGACACTCATTAGAAGATGTTTCATGCTTAATATCTTAGCTCTAGCTCTTTGGGTTCTTTAAAAGAAGATTTGTTTAAGTTTTTACTATATGCATATAGGGAAAATCAATGACCCCCCTGGGACAGGGCCAATTTTGACCCCAGGGCTTTTATTTGAACAAACTTGGTAGACATTCATTAGAACATGTTTCATGCCAAATATCTAAGCTCTAGCTCTTTGGGTTTTTTAGAAGAAGAATTTTTTAGTTTTTACTATATGCATATAGGGAAAATCAATGACCCCCTGGGGCGGGGCCAATTTTGACCCCTGGGCTATTATTGGAACAATCTTGGTAGACACTCATTAGAAGATGTTTCATGCTTAATATCTTAGCTCTAGCTCTTTGGGTTCTTTAAAAGAAGATTTTTTTTAAGTTTTTACTATATGCATATAGGGAAAATCAATGACCCCCTGGGGCGGGGCCAATTTTGACCCTAGGGATTTTATTTGAACATTCTTGGTAGACGCTCACTTGGAGATGTTTCATGCCAAATATCTAAGCTCTAGCTCTTTGGGTTTTTTAGAAGAAGATGTTTAAAGTTTTTTCTTTTGGTTGCCATGGCAACCAGAGTTCTGCATGGAATGGTATTCTTTGAACAACTTTGTTAAGGCTTCACACAAGGAACATCCCTGTGAAGTTTCATTATGATCTGCCTTATGGTTTCAGAGGAGATGTCGTTTGAAAAGTGTGAACGGACAACGTACGACGGACGACGGACGAAGAGTGATCCTAATAGCTCACCCTGAGCATATGCTCAGGTGAGCTAATAAAAATCCGGACTAAAAATTGATGCGTGAAACTCAACGCACTTTCGACTTTTTTTTAGATATTATTTCCTACAGATTGTAGGTTGTCACGCACAGATTTTAATGTTCTGAGCACGTGTTTAGCAACGGAAAAGACTGATCCGTCTTCCTAGATAACTAAATTTATTCAAAGGTGGCCAGATAGCACAGACTGGTATATATCTGTAGGATGATTCTTGGCTCTGGTGGAAGAGATAAGCCCTTTTTAAGCCCCGCTCCTTTTGATACATGTATGTCTGATAGTACCGTCATTATAAGGAGCTCTCAATAGGTTTGTATATACATTCTACTTCATTTTACATTACTAACTAAAACTCTGTTTCTAAGTTCAGTAGTTTGTAACATCAATGACGTTGAACAATTTTTCTGTAAGGAACAAAAGTTCCATTGGATATGTGACCATGACTTATATTACGCTCAATTTTATATTAACCGCAGTAGCATTATGGTCTCGTTGTGAATGGAATTTAAAATATGCATTTTATAAACTTAATTAATGTGAATTCGTAATATGTGCAATTGTGCACGAATGTCACTTTCACTTTGGGCTCTTTTGGATAGACTTCATTTAGCCTGAGTTCATTTGGAGTTTTAAAAATAAAGTTATTTAAAAATTTAAGCTTAATATGTAAGGAAAAAAACATGACAGAATAAAATCCATTAGCCTAACCTTTAGTGGCACGAGAATTAAGTATGCGTGTCACAAAAATGTTTAAATAAAATATCAGCATTTTTACTATTAGAGCTAAACATTTTGTTTCCTTTCATAAAAAAAGAACATGCACATGTATATCAATCTAAATTGATATAATTCATTTCTAAAAGGTATGACCCCGTGGATTTGTCATGACTATATCACATTATGATAAAACAACAAAAAAATCATACTTTGCTTGTATACGTGTATTAATTAGTGCATGAACAAACGCGCTAACGGCTGACGTCTGTGAGCTTATCTAAGTTTAGAAAAAAATGTCCATACTGTGTGCCATTTTGTACAGTTAAAGCCCGTCGCCAAGTAGAAAATTATTTTGAGCATCAAATCATATTCTTAAAAATAAAACGCCAAATAAATGTACATGTAATGCTTTTGAAAACGTTGTAAGCGCTTAGAAAATAGCGTAATAATTCATGCTATACAAAATTGATATGTTGTATAGAAAATAATTGACGAATAGATTATTAATAACTTATATTAATTAACGAACGCTGAATTTAAATATTTGCAATAACACAATCACGTGTTAGCTGGCGGGTTTCTGCGTTTAGTGAAAGGTTGGGCTCCCATGAGGAATATATGTATCGGAGTACAATCCGAGTTACCCTCGTTACATATACTAGCAAAAAGTACGCACATTGTGGTGACAATATCAATATACCGATAGCCATTATTAATTTTGATGAAATTAAACGGCGTATCTTAGATTATGAACTTTGATAGACATACCGTCGCGTGACAATAACTTGCGCACAATTGGTCCGCCGGTTGAGAAGGTCCGCATTGGGAGTTCATAGGAATAAATTCCGTTCCTACTGAAAATAAACAGCATAAGTTCTATAACAAGCAAACCGGTCAGGATGAGATCGCTCGTATTTGTGCCCAATGTGTTGATAATATTCGCTATTTGTAAGTATAGTTTACAAGATATATTTGCATGGAATCACATACTCTAAGTTAAGGGATTAGGATAAAATTAGCTTTAAAAAAACAATTTTGAACGAGTTTTGTCAATTTGAAAGTTTTGGAAAAATTCAAACGAACGGCATTTTCGGCTGATAACAAGAGAAATTGATTCCGGGAAACTAAAACTGATTCTTTTAAATTTTGCTGTTGTCATGAAACTGTATAGTGATGTCATTTTCAAGTTCAAAATTGTACACACTTGAGAAATAAAACCAAAAGACAAAATCAATGTTTATACATAGATATTAATATTTTAAATTCCTTTCGAAAATTAATAAAATAATTATCATACAAAATAATGTTCAGAACAATACAGTATTTTTGTCGGTCCTTTTATATAAGGACATATACAAACCATGCAGACAGTACCATTTGCACCGTCCAGTTAGCTCAATAGGTAGAGCGTTGGACTGTGAATGGGAAAATCTGGATTCGATTCCCGGACGGTGCGGGTCACTTTCGTTGTGATTGGTCATGAAATGTTTTCTACGATCATTCGCACTGTACCTCTACTCTGGCATGTTCGGAAGTTATCAGTATGAGTGTGACAATATTGTACGGACCATATACTCGCTTGTACTATAAAACATATAATTTCAGCACTACCTCATATTTCCGGTAGTGAGTGCGATCTGACTGGTGTTGACAAATGTGCTGGTTCCGCAACAGACCTGGTTCCCACAATTTATTTCAATCCGGCCAGCTCGGAGCTTCTTAGTGACATTAAAGAAAACTATTGCGGGAAAGGGTAAATATGATTAGCTTATGTATCACCTGATCGGTTCTAAAAATCTGAAATTTAGCCTCACATTAGCGGGGAATTTATCAACATTAAAGTCCTAAGACAGGTATAAAATCGGAAAAGGGGCTTTTAAAGACTACGTTCTCAATTTTGATATTATATGAACAAGCCTGCAAATAAATGGCGTTGACTGTTAGTAATCAAAATGCCTTGACCAATATTGTCATTGTCCTTACTTCCTTACTATGCATTTGACTAGAGTTCTACCAATACATCCCCATTAAGTCTAAATATTTTAGAAGTGAGCAAAGTTTTTTTAAAACTACCATATAATACAAAATGGCGCATTCTAAGATTACTTGATTGACAAGATTTGAACGTACTTTATAAAAGAGCGGGTTTGAGCGAATACAACTCTAATATTACAAAGATATGGTGGCTGATTTTGTACGCGTTTGTTCGTCGCGTTGGCGCTAGTGGCAGCACGACAAAGCGCCTAACGGAGCGTTGTCGCGCTCTTGTCTTGTCGTCTTGTCTCTAGCACGGCGCGTTGTCGTGAGGCGCGTTGTCTCAATATCACATTGTCGCTCGGTTCAAATTGAAGGACTGGCTTATAAGCCAAGCGACATCGCGACAACGCATCGCACGACAACGCGCCGTTTGGCGTGCCGCGCTAGAGACAGGACGACAAGACGACAGCACACCGTTTGGCTTCTAAGATTACTTTATTGGCAACATTTGAACCCGTACTTTATAAAAGGGCCGGTTTGAGCGAATACACCTCTTTTATTACAAAGATGTTATTTGTTTTGATTCTTTTTCTTTCTGTAACCGAGAAAATACATTGCACGTGTACATGATTTGTAGTCGTATACAACGAAATTATCTGTCTACAATCTGCAGGTTGGAACAATGCCTCCAGCATATGAGTGGTAACTGTTCACTGAACGCCCTCGCGCCCTACCAGACCCTCACCAACACAATTAATCTAATATGCCGTACTGGTAAGTTGTATTTTGATAAATATCATTTAATATGTCACACGAAATAAGTTCTTCCATATCGTTATATATTATTGCAGATAAGGTAAGTTGCGCTTTTGAAATACATCGTATACATAAACAGATATCTATAAGTTGTGCTTCCTGGAATAACAGATTCACATATATTTGACATATTGGTAAGTTGTTTTAACAACATATTGGTAAGTTGTTTTTACAGGATTACTAGTAATACATTCACAGATATTTGACGCAACGTTGTGTTTTTAAGATATTTGACATTGGTAAGTTGTCTATACAGGAATAATACATTTACTTGTATTTGACGCAGCGCTAAGCTGTGTTTTCACGAATAATACATTCAAATACTTATGTCTATGACGCGACGGTATAAGTCTTGTTTTTAGAAAACGTACATTGACAAATAAATGCCCTTTCGTAAGTTTTTTTTCCCAGGAATAATACATTTACTGATATTTGACCTAACTGTAAGTGTTATGTCCAATAACTAACATATTCTTAACTGTGTTTTATGGGAAATACTTGACTTTTATAACATATTTCTCTTGTCTGCTTTTCAGACATTGTTCAAAATCCGTGCCTAGCACGTGGTGACCTACAGCACGGATGCAGCTACTGTTTCCAGCTATTTAAAGTTGTCGTGGACAATGTTGTAGGTGACACTAGCCTTACATCAGACGAGCTAAATGCTGCACTATGCCGGTAGGCGTTTTTTAAAATATGTTTTTCTTTATATCTTAAATAGTACTTATAAAAGTCGTTTGAATACCACTTCGGTATACCACATCATTGTGACTGAGGGGTCGCCTTAAAGGGTTGAGGCATTAGAATTGCAGCCACCGTTTATCCCCGCGTGATCGCAAGAGGTGTTTGAATAACCGGAGTCTATATATCTCTTAGCTCCAGCAGGTGAGATGGTTTTGACGCCTGGTGATGTTTTAAGTTTGTAACACCAGAGGTTAGCCAAAATTATCTTTCATGCTCGGTGCCATATGACCTAAACTGTGTTAGTGCGCCGTAAAAGCTTTCTTTCTTCTAACATACTTTGAAATTTGAGAGTCCAAGATTTTTCAAAACTAAATTGTTTAACTAAAGCAGACAGCAAGATAGAGTCTAGTAAGATTATATGAGCCGCGTCACGACAAAACCAACATAATGGGTCTGCGACCAGCATGGATCCAGACCAGTCTGCGCATCCGCGCAGTCTGATCAGGATTCATGCTGTTCGCTATCAGTTTCTCTACTTGTTATAGTGTTTGTAAGCGAACAGCATGGATCCTGATCAGACTGCGCGGGCTGGTCTGGATCCATGCTGGTCGCAAACCATTACGTTGGTTTTGTCGTGATGCGGCTCATATAGATTTACACGTTATCTTTGATCTGTTGGAAATGCCTTATTAGTCTCATTTGGCAGAGTTTGGTATCTACGGACTTTGAGATAGTAAGCTTGAACCTAACGTGTGATAAATGAAATTCATTACAATAAGATTGATATAAGCTAAATAAATTTCCTTAATGCTGAAACAAGCGTTCCATGTTTTGATAATTTTTAATTGAGAAATTGGCGGGAAGAAGATATATGTACATCCGTTTTGCTCGCACCATGTTCAAGTCAATCCATCGATACAGGTTTCATACCTGTTCTCTATTTATAAATTGGAACCAGCATATGATTTAAAAATGAGCCGCGTCACGACAAAACCAACATAATGGGTTTGCGACCAGCATGGACCCAGACCAGCCTGCGCATCTGCGCAGTCTGATCAGGATCCATGCTGTTCGCTATCAGTTTCTCTACTTGTAATAGGGTTGGTAAGCGAACAGCATGGATCCTGATCAGACTGCAGGGATGCGCAGACTGGTCTGGATCCATGCTGGTCTCAAACCCATTATGTTGATTTTGTCGTGACGCGGCTCAAATGTTTACTGTCCGCAGGTAAAATTCTATTAGAAACACTCAGTATAAGCATGGAATAATATGTACTTTTTTCTTTTCAGGGCATATTATGACGTCAAGACATGTTGCATGGACGCTGCTCGGAGTATATGTGACACACGTGCCCAGGCTTATGTCGCCACTCTTCTCAGTACTACAACACGTGCAAACAGAAATGTGCTAGGTTGTTAACAAAAGAATAATAATACAATTAAATTGATAAACAGGTATAGATAAAAAACAACGTTTATAATCTGGATAAAATGCAGACATTAATATTTGATCACGCGGTCTGAGATAAACTCATCGTTGAATCAAATCTTACAAATATGTATAAGCTTAATGGTATATATTTGTGCAATGAAATTAACTTTTTATTTTAGTAAATCAAACTTAATATTGTAGCAAAACCAGCATTGTTATACGATATTTTCATTTTTTATTATCATAAAATTAGTTTCGTATTGCATGTACAATAAAGTAAGCTTTGTAAGAAAAAATAAATTTGCTCTATATTTCAATTAAAGTCACGTGATTTTATGATGAATGAATGAATGATGATAATCAACTTTATAATGAATTTGCGTTTTATAATAAAGAAATTTGCTTTGCATTCGTATTTTGACAAAATCAGGGATATATCTACATCATGTAGAAAATTACCTTTACATTATATGATATCGAAATTAAAATTTCATTAAAATCTAATGAACAACAATTTAATATTTGATAAAACCTGCTTATATTTATTATATTAGAGGATCTTCAATAAAACTAATTAAGTTCATTGTTTTGATAAAATTGACTTATAATTAGTCGTATTACCATTGTTGCTGTCTTGTACAATGTGAAATTGGTTTCTTTATGTACACATTATATTAAGGTCCCAATGGCAAGAAGGTAAAATTCACATTTGATTGTGTGGAATAAAGCTATAGAGCTTGTTCGCGAGTTCGACTCTCGTGCGCTCTCATTCGGAGCACCTCACCAATTACCCATAATGATATTTCTTTCCCGTATCGAGGCGTGGTGTGACCAATTTGTTTATGTTAACGCCGTTTCAAATAATTTACGTGGAAAAGAGGATATGAAGAACTATGTTCAAATAAACAGTAATTATAGGTACCTACTAACTGGTTATAATGGCTAAAAGTTATTAAACTGATGTTAAAACAAACAGACACATGCAAGGTGAATAGGCTGACATGATAATTTCGATGTATGACCAATAATTCGTCGCCACGTGCACATGGCGTAAATAATTCGATAAGTTAATTGTTCGTTAAATGAATCAATAATTCGATCATACATCTGTCCTTTCGGGGAAATAATTTAATAAGTCATTATTTCAACAATAAACAGCTTTACGTAGGGATTCAATTCACAATGAACTGTAGATTTCAAAGCGTTGCAGAACAGTAAATAGTTTAAATGCGAAGTGTTTCGTGACAACGGAAATTAATTAATGCATTCTTCAGACAATATACTGAATCATCAAGTGGTCTCTGGTGTGTATTTATCGAAAACAATTGACACTAAGGTTAGTTGTGATTGACAATTACTGAAAACTGACCAGAATTTAACCCGACGTGTTCGCGTGACATATGTTGGTCACCAATTGATTGTTATCATAACACACAATTCACTATTACGCTTTTCATGATGTTGCATGTTGTAATGGACTGATATTGATGTATTGAAAGTTGAACAATTATCTCATTGTAAGTTTATTAAAAAAAGAGAACATAAATTTATTACAAAATAATAATAATAATATAGTAAAAATACTTAAAGTAGAGTTAACATTAGTAAAGCATGATCAACAAAAAGGGCAAGTGTTGCTGCCACTATAAACCACGCCCATGCATTCGGACTCAATACGGGTACTGCGGTTTCATCTCCACGGTGCTGGGATCTCTTCGATACCTTGTCTCAATTCTGCAGCAATCACATTTCTCGTAGATTAACAATTTTAAACGATGAATTCCGTATAAGATTAAATGAACTACTGGAACAAGAATAAAACAGACTATTGCACAATATAAAAATGCCGTCCCAGGCTTACTCCAATCAAGAGGCGAGTATACATACGGGCTCCCATTATGGTTGGTTCCCCCGGCCAAATGATAAAACACAGTAAATAACGCATATACCATTCCGAATATTACTGAGAACCAGAAATGTAAGACACGTTTTGGCATTCCCGTGACGCTGATGTTTAAGAATACGTATAAAGAGTTAATTATGTGGGTTGCTATATTCACTGACGACATATCTTGTGATCCTGAAATTAAAAAGAATGATGTTACAAGTCAATCCTAGAGAAAATATACATGGTGGCTAATTTCAGACAATAATAATTGTCGTTTCGTATTGCCGTGCGAGAGTACAATACATTCAATCGTACGCACGACAATTCCAACAAAACGACAAAAAGATACGAATAAATGTACGCTCTATGGTCGTGTTCACAATTTAATGTAAATACCATTCATATCCTGTCGTGCACGTAATACGAAAGCAACAAACCACTTAATTAAAATGTAATTCATCGTTTTGTTTTGTTATGCGCTCCAATACGAAATTCCAAAGCCTTCTGGATCATTATGTTTGACACGCAAGCAACAAAGAAGCGTCCGTTCTGTCACGGGCGCTTATACCAATCCTTCAAACTTCAAAATGTTGTTCCAATCTTTCACGCCATGTAACATGTTAACACGACCTAAGCTTTAATAAACGTGGTTCTAGAATCTATTAAGCAAAACATTTGTCAAGTAAACATGACTAGCCTAAGATACTAACTATCCACAAAAAATGGCATACATGCCCATTACTGACTACTTATAAGTTTGATATTCTAAAGTTCTGTTAACTAATCTAAAGTCATACAAATGAAAGAAGTTATAAATAAATACCATCATATACGAGGCCCCAATACGCCAGTGATGTTGAAACGCTGATTACATTTCCAATGTTAAATAGACACCAGTTAGCTCGCATAAACCATGGTAACTCGACTTCTGTACCTACAACAATGAGCATAAAAACATTATGACTGAAAATAAGCATCAGCAACGACAAGAAAACTTTAATAAATTGATATTAACATTTTCGCGCTTCGTAACTTTCTTTTTTTCATCCCACCTTTTAAAGTTTCTAAAGTAACGGAAAGAACCAACTGTATCTACTATCGTTTACTTTTTTCTTCGTGAAATTGTGTCCTTTTTATTTCATTTAATTACATGTATATTATTTTATTTGTTTATTTATTTATTGTTGTAAAATTAAATATTTGATTTCTATATTGAAATCTGATTGATGTGCAAAGGATCATGTAGCATTTCAATCATCAGGCTAAAATAACCAATTTTGTAGAAAAAATAAGATAATAATATTCTAGTTCAAAATCTGACATAAACCTTGACTGGTTTACGGAATGTATTTTCCTCATTTATTAATTATACCTTCTCTGATATCCGTCCGCCTGACAAACACATATGTGGTCACTACAGCGTCCACTAATGTAGAGATGGTCAGTGAAAAATAAGCCCAGTCTGTGAGGAAGATAAACCACTTGACGTACTGACTACTGTCCTCCCCAGCCCACAGGTCAGCCTTAACCCCTGACACGATAATCCACGCCACGTGGTACAGAGCCCAGAATACCCGCCATATTAAGTATACTTTCTGGAAACCAAACTGAAAAAGAAAAGACTCTTGTTACCAACCAATACTGAGTACTGACCTAATCATTTAGGTGCTTTACCTACCAATATTGAGTACAAACCTAATCGTTTAGGTGCTTTACCTACCAATAATGAGTATAGACCTAATCGTTTAGGTGCTTTACCTACCAATATTGAGTACATTTAATAGACCGACGTTTAGGTGCTTTACTAAGCAATACTGAGTATAGACCTTATCGTTTAGGGGCTTTACTAAGCAATACTATGTATAGACCTAATCAGTTAGGTGCTTCACTAAGCAATACTATGTATAGACCTAATCAGGTAGGTGCTTTACCAATCAATACTGTGTATAGACCTTATCAGTTAGGTGCTTTACCAATCCATTCTATGTATAGACCTAATCAGGTAGGTGCTTTACCAATCAATACTGTGTATAGACCTAATCAGTTAGGTGCTTTACCAATCAATACTATGTATAGACCTAATCAGTTAGGTGCTTTACCAATCAATACTATGTATAGACCTAATCAGTTAGGTGCTTTACCAATAAATACTATGTATAGACCTTATCAGTTAGGTGCTTTTCCAACCAATACTATGTATAGACCTAATCAGTTAGGTGCTTTACCAATCAATACTGTGTATAGACCTAATCAGTTAGGTGCTTTACCAATCAATACTGTGTATAGACCTAATCAGTTTGGTGCTTTACCAATCAATACTATGTATAGACCTAATCAGTTAGGTGCTTTTCCAACCAATACTATGTATAGACCTAAGCACTTAGGTGCTTTTCCAACCAATACTATGTATAGACCTAATCAGTTAGGTGCTTTACCAATCAATACTGTGTATAGACCTAATCAGTTAGGTGCTTTACCAATCAATACTATGTATAGACCTAATCAGTTAGGTGCTTTACCAACCAATACTATGTATAGACCTAATCAGTTAGGTGCTTTACCAACCAATACTATGTATAGACCTAATCAGTTAGGTGCTTTACCAATCAATACTATGTATAGACCTAATCAGTTAGGTGCTTTACCAATCAATACTATGTATAGACCTAATCAGTTTATAGGTGCTTTACCAATCAATACTATGTATAGACCTAATCAGTTAGGTGCTTTACCAATCAATACTGTGTATTCAGGAGTTTTCAGATTAACCAGAGTTCTACTTTGTTTATATCTCCCATGACTACATTCCATGTAGGGTATATTTCTATTTAATTACTTTGAAACGTAGAAAAAGTTATTTATACACGACAGACTAGGCCCGGGAAGGTGATAACCGATTCACTGACTGAATATTAGACCCCCCCCCCCCCCGAGATCTTTAATTAGTTCCTACGTGTATTTTCCAGGTACCAATATGCATACAAATACATACAATTATTTCCATGAACGAAATTTTAATTATCATGCCATTTTTTTCTGATGATAAAACATAGCCAGACTTTGCTTTATCACAGTCGGCAGGTAATCTTATAAAGCTAAGTAGAGATCTATATCAATGTCAGGTGATTTTATAATTATATATAATTATCTATGTAGTAAAGAGATCTGTAAGACAACATAATTTATGCTGTGTATATTACACAGGTTTACTACATACATCCCTGGTGCCTTCATAACTTTAAAGCTTATATACCTGTCGTTGAAAGTAAAATAATCATTTTCGGTACTGACAATATATCAGACACGAGAGCATGGTAGCTCTTAGTCTGCTGGCGTTAACCGATTCTGTCCATGTGACCAGTGTAGACCAAGATCAGCCAGCATATCACCGATGATGGTCTGCACTGTTTGATATGGGGTTTGCAATTCAGTTAAAATTTCTTTTAATTTCCACATCCATAGCGTGATTAGGGTAAAAGAACATGAAAACTTTAAACGTATCTTAACACAAACAGATCTAAAGTTATAGAAGAGTAAAATGCAAATACAAATAGTCTGATTTCCGTCACTTTACCGAAATCATCTTTTCATTACCGAAATTGTGTTTAATGATCGTTCATTCTCTATAATTGTACATGACTTTGTACTATATGTATATATCCGTCCGTGTTCTTCAATAATTTAGTGTCCAAATTGGCGTAAACAAATATACCTAATAAATCGATAGAGAAACTAACTTAATAGCAAACAAACAGGTAAACAAACTTACTTGAAATTGGATGAAAGTTTGTGGATCTTCGTGCTGAAGAAGTAAATTCTTTACTTTAAATTCACTTTTACACCATTCTTTACACCCTGCCATTTTTAGTATAAATTCTCTTCCGTGTATTGCCTATTTCTCTTTTGATAATTTATACATATCCTCCTTTACAGCAAGTAAACAATAACATTCCGTATTAACTTAAATTTGTTGTGCAGCGCTGGACACGATCCAGCGACCACTTTTATTAAAGGACGGTTCAGTAGTTTATAACGAAGTTACCGCTTCGGTGATATATTTTTTGATGCGTCAGATAAAAATATATGATTATAAGTGGTGACCTAAATCCGATTGTGTTCCTTTAGCACAAGGAATGAAGAATAATTAAATAATACAACAAATGAAAATGTATATTTATAGTAACGAGGCCAGTTGAGTACAGCGCTCGTTTGTTTAACGTGATTTACGTAACTAACGTGCATGACAACGGGTGCGTTTAACGTATTATGAATCAGACTGACAAGTACAGTTTGCGATAAGCCCGAGGGTTAAAGTTGATGAAGACATATTTCATATACTTAAACAATGAAAGTAAACCAATTTATAACAAGCGGTAATAATTTGGTAATTTTGACATTCTTAAAATACTTTTATTTGAAAGGATGGGATGACGTAATTAAGGGAAGAAATACATTAAGATACATGTATTGTTGATGACAGATGTATTGTTGGGTTAGTGTATGTTCAAAATAGACAAATGTTTTGTTTTTAGAGCACAGCCCCGAAGACACATTTAATTTCAATTAATTCGGTTGGCATTAATAAGAACAAAAAAAATCGACGGCAATAAAATCAATCATTTGCAGAGAAATATGTATTCTTATTATAAACTTTGGTCCAGGTTTGACCAGTGATATACTAATAAAGAGACTGTATATGTGTCCAGATCAACAACAGGTGACGCGATACGCTACACGACTTTAATATACATGTACTATCACAGTATATGTTCGCAATATTTATCGACAATGTATTAAGAACAAGCCTATGTAAAATATGTCATGATTAAGAATATTAAAGTTGCTAAATAAAAAAGTTAAAATTTTCATAAAATGACCAAAGCGGTCAGATTATACAGTGCAATGACCCCCCTGCACCGGTTCTTTCATCAAGCGCTTCGTAAAAGACCAGTATCACACCGGAAGCTATGCTCAAATGAGCACTGCAAGACGATGCAACAAATACCGATATTTTGAATTAAATATTGTCATTTCATTTTGTAATAATCTGTATTACTTATTAACTTATACTGTGACCAAATAAATGGACAACCTACCACGGTCCACGACATGCACAAAAGAAAATGTAAATATTTTTTCTCCCAAAAACCATTTTTGCGCAAAATATGATAAAAGTTTAGTAGGCTCAGAGATATAAAAAGTGGTTAAATTTCTAGCGCGTCTAAGCTACGCGCACCAAGTTCCAACATATGTAATATAGTGCGTCTTAAGGACGAATGGGGTAACTAATACAGTTCAGCATCTAATATTACATATATTGCTCGAACTGCTAGCCCCATCTACCTTGTAACTTATTTCTGCAGAAATTATTGAATAATGAATTTAAAATAAATACGAGATTAGTAAAAGGTTTAAAATATCTATATGCAAAAGTAAAAAGACAAATTGATAATGTTTTACAATGTCAATAAATTTTATTTTTATAAATTTTCAAATTTTCAATACATCTAACAAAAACATGTAAAGGATATTTAAAGTGACAAAACTATCTAATAATTGTGATTTCATATGGCACATGTCAAATTGTACATGAAAATAATGATAGAGAAAAAATTTAACATTGCAAGATTGCTATAACAAAATTAATAAATATAAATTATCAAACAAGAGGGCTATAATGGCTCTGGTTCGCTCACCTATGATAAATTGCTAAAAAAGGTAACATTTTTTTAATGTTAAAAGTGGCCAAGTGGTCACAAAGTGTTTGTGATTTTTAACACATAGAGGATATTTGTTTGTTTTGCCTATCAGACCAGCAAGACAACGCAGAAAGAAAACCAAAGCACAATAATACGTATGATGATGTCATGAGTTTTGTTCAGTTCATTCGAAATTAAGCTGAAGAAAGAGGTCTTCCACAACCTGTAGACCCTCGTTGACTAGATAACATCCAACCAGCGTATCTGACGTCTGGCACACAAAAATACATGCACCAACTTAAGGTAGCACACCCCTAATGGGCACTATAAGGAACTGTAAAATTGACAACATAGGACAGTTATATGCCGTTAATGTCACCTGTATGCAAACTTTAAACAAAATTTACCGTGTGGTTTATGAGTTATGGACATTTTTCTGAACTAAAACTTTGCTATTAGAAGGTTTTTTTTTCAGAAATGAGGAAACTCCTAATAATCCATAATATCATCATTATGAAAACTGTTTTCCTGTTGCTCATTGTTTAGAAACAAATAATGACATTTAGGTAACAAATTAAACAAATAAAGTGATTGTTTTTAAATGAAATGTTTACAATATGTATAAAAATGTAACCCTACCCCACCCACTTTTAACACTTATTTGACCATTTCCCTGCGTAAAAAGCCTTATTAAAAATAGCCCTAAAATTTTCCACAATGAGGGGCTGTTTTCAAAGTTTGCCTAAATTTTTTTAAATGTACATTGGTTAGTCTTGCAATATATAAAATACTTTTACCGTGTAGTTTTTATTTTATTAAACTTTGAAAATATGTGGTATCATATTTTCTATTTAATTTGGCATTATTTAATAAATAAATGCCTACAAAAATCATATTATTAAAATGAAACAATTTTTTCTTATTATGGATCTGAGAGATTAATAAAAAATGTTAAAAAGAAAAAAAAAGAAAGAAAAAAAGTTGTCCCTTCTGGGGTTTAAACCCGCGCCCCTCAGTTTCATTACACTTTACAGTGATTCTAACCTATTTCAATACTCTTCAAAGTGGAGATAGTGCATTAGGGGTGTACTACCTTAACAACAAACAGGCCTATGCGCGCTTTAGAGTTCACGTCATTCAAAGACATCTGGCGTACATGTTTACCACACATACGTATAGCTATCACAAAGGATGATGTATGTGCCACTTGTGGTAAGCTGTGCAGACAGATATCAGGCACTGTGACTGAGAACGTGACACTATAAGCAACCATGACAGCACTGCGGGACCACGTACTTTTTGCGCAAAAGGTAATAATAAAAAAGAACAATAATGTTACTATACACATATAATTAAAACGTATACAGTCAAACGTGTATTAAGCGACCGCACAAGGGAAGACTCCAAAAATAGTCGCTTAACGAAACGGTCTCTTAAGACAAAGCATGAGGAAAAAAAGTAAATTTGTATTTAACATACATAAATTAATAGGCAAATTGTTATATTATAAGCATATTTTTTTATAAAATTAATAAAGACTCAATACACTAAAGAATTAATAAAGAATTAACTAGTGCCATATGTTACCTATTCCGGTGATATGATTTTTTTTTACCGTGATTATAAAGATCGTTGCTTAAAAAGGTTCAATTACGCTGTTTTTACCTTTAAGTTACATAATGCACATTTTTTTAGCTGCCGAGTTATGTTAAATTGACTATATATTTAAAAAGATTGACTATAATAATGGCCATTGAACAATTATTGATTATGAAACATGTCTAGTATAAAATATCATAAATTGCCTGAAATATAAAAGGCTTGTCCCACTCTTTTTAACAACGGAATGTTAACGATATATTCCGCAGGATATCTATAGAATTTATTGTGATTCACGTGGGTTATTGATTATATAATGGACTATTATCTATATTATAAAATTGAAACCTATTATGGAAAAATCTCAAGTTGTTTTGACATTGACATTTTCACCCACCATTTACACTTGGATGAGTATAATGTCACTTTAATTTATGTCGAGTCTCTTTTTTTTGTAATTTCGTAGGCACGGTATCTATATAATGAGTGTATACAGCGTAGGTAGAAAAATGAATGTATATTATGTAAATATTACATATTATACATTCATTTTTCTACCTATGCATGTCCTGTTGTTGTTGTTTTTTTCTTCAGAAGGCCACATTGGAAATAAGATATATATGATTGCTTTTGTATGTTCTTAATGTGTAACCTTCTTTGAATAAAGATATTATTATTATTATTAGTGTTGCCACACGGGACTCTGAAGAAAAGTTGGTCCCTTCAGTCAGAACGTCAGTGTGCCTTATTTCTCTCGCCAGATGGGCCCAGTATACTTTTTAATCCTGTGTAAAATCGAGATATTTGGAGCAAGACTATGCTACACCAACTCAACTTCCTGATTGACGAAGATCAAATTTATATCTAAATATATTATATTTTCCTATACAAGTGTATATAACGTAAATGACCCCCAAGGGGTGAGAGCAATTTGACCCGAGCAGCATGTTGTATAAACATTAAAAATTTTGTAGAGGACAAGGTGATTCTACATGCCAAATATCTAAACTCTGGACATCATACTTTCAGGTAAAAAAGATTTTTAAGACATTTGTACTTAAGAATTTTTGTATTGTAGACTGGCGTTTCTTGCATAGCAGACTGGCTTTCCGTAAGTATTACCCATGATGCCGGAAATTTCATCTGGCTTGTGGGTACCAGATGAGTCGCGTGCCATACAACATCATTTTAGCAAATTTTATGAATGAACATCGTTAAAATGAGTCATTATGCGCATTTTAGAAGGGAACTATGTGCTTAGGATAAAATCATTTTGCCGTTGTTATTAAACTTGTAAATTAATACCTATTGTCAGAAAATAGTTATGGATGAAATGACATGAACAAATATCTTATATTGAGGTAAACTATTTTAAATATAAAAAAATATGGCATATGTGCAAGAAAAAATATCTGACATACAATGTATGTTTGCAGTTCGGATCGAAATATCAGTCCCGAGGTTACCCCGCCCATTTGGCCATTGCAGTTTCTGAAGATTTTTAAAGATCTCATTTTTAAAGTTCATTTTTAGCTCTAGCCACCTTCTTATGCATCAGACTGGAACCATTTACAAAATTTTTGTAGAGGACCAGCTTCAGGTCATTGCTGTGAAGTTTGGGTAAAAACCATCAACTAGTTAAGGAGGAGACTGATGTTGTTGAGATAATGACAGATGACAAGCCAGACACACTGCCATCACAAAAGCTCACCTCTCAGTACTTTGTGCTCAGGTGAGCTGAAATATGACAATATTTCACTCAAGCGTTACCTTTGACTTATTACATAGCAACACTTATTATCTCTAAGAAACAATCTCCAGCTCTGTATATTAAGTTCAATATCTCAATAATACCTTTGGAAATGAATATCTATTTTCACTGGTATCAATTTAATGTAAATTATTAGCATGCGATTATTGAATATTTAAATATGTTAAAACATTAAAAATAAAAATCTGTTCTTTGAACACAAATTTAATAGCTTGATTGGCAAAAAGCAAACAAAAATAAAATTACCCCACTAAAACATCCAATTTCTCCATAATGGAACATTCACTCATGTACAATAATATCACAGTGTAGAAACAGTGATCAATGTATCATTTACACAAGTCTATACAATTCAATGTATATGAGCCGTGCCATGACAAAACCAACATAATGGGTTTGCGACCAGAATGGATCCAGACCAGCCTGCGCCTCCGCGCAGTCTGATCAGGATCCATGCTGTTGGCTTACAAACCCTAAAACAAGTAGAGAAAGTAAACCCATTATGTTGGTTTTGTCATGGCGCGGCTCATATGGGTTATTGGGTTACAAGCATCTTTTACTTATGATCACTGTATCATTTATTGCAAGCTGACACAATTCAAGTTGTATCATCTATTGTGATCACAGAAAGAAGATAATATTTCTACATATTGATTACACACTTTTCCTTAATGAAGATAGAGCATTGTTCAATCTTGTTTGAAAATCTAAGTTAATATAACTAATATGTAGTGGAAAATAGTGAAAAATTCAACAAAAAAATGTTGAAAATTTGGTTAAATTTATATGATCTAACTCTGAATCCCGTCCTTCATGCCCCAACTGCTGCACATCTCTGAAAAGAATCCTGGAAGACCTTTCATAGCTAGAAATCAATATAAGATCAAACTGTCCCACAACAGTCTGTTGTTGTTGGGTTTTAAATCACATAGTAAAGGTTGTATGGCAAATATCCATCTTTTTTCATGGAAGAAGACCTCAAGTACCCCTCTGTGCCTTATTACAGGTATGAATAATCACCCCATTAGAACCACCCACTTTCTTTAAGCTACTTGATAGCTTCCCCGCATGAAAGTGCCAAAGACTCAGGTGGGATTTGAACCTACCGTGGCGAGGAGCAATTGGTCCAGAGTCAACAATCTTAGTAACTCAGCCATGGGACACTTCTAATAAAATTGAAAATCTATTCATTTTTACAGGAATAAATTACACTCATTCTTTACACATTTCAACACACAAAATATTAAGCAGCTTTAAAGATATGCTATAAATAGCATATATAATTATGGCAAATCTATAAATAAGATTTGAATGGCAAGGAATACCCCACAACTCTAAATCATAATGGCAATGCACTTGATCAACAATACATACTTAGCAACAAAAGCTAAAAATACTGGACAATTTGAGATCATGATAAACATTTGCATTTGCATTTTTTAAATGAAGCCATATATTTTCAGCTGTGCAATACTTACACTTTTATATCAATATAGACTTACATGGCAAGTCACATTATTAGATATAATCACCTTATTTCTGTAGGTCCGTAATGTATGTTTCAAAGATGGCAATTTATCAAGCCATTTGTACCTAGACATGGTATCCTATGTGTAACATCCAAATAAACTTACCATTTATTTATAGTAACACAGCCTCAATACTTTAATCCAAATATACCATTAGTCTTTATATGTGTCTATTAATAGTAACACCAACACACATTTATGTGATATGACATCATCAACATCTATTAATAGTAACACAACATCTATAAATAGAAACACCAACACATTGAGGTTTTAATGTTGGCACTTGGTATACAGCCTATTTTGATCCCTGCACTAAACAATCACAGACTATTTCATAGTTTGAAACACAAAAAGAGAGGATTTTACTTGAAGGTCGGTATTTTGTTTGGTTTTAAAGCCGCAAAGTCAGACTTTGATCCGATTAACATGATATTGTTCCCCATGTATGTGAATCTGAAATGAAAAATAATTGAAAGTTTGATAATGTATATATCATTTGATGTGAAAGTGTCTATCAACAAATTCCCTAAATTCTCTTAAAATATTTGCTCATTTATGTATCCTTTTATGTTTGGTTTGTTTGGCTTAAACATATTTATTTAAGGCTTAAGCTCGACTACAAAACAAGTTCTTGCAATTTATATTAATCACTTTCGACTCCACTCTTGGAACCAACCAGTACTGGTGTCATATGAAGAAACATGGTAGTGACCCGAGTAGGGCTCAAACCCATGACACCTTAACCACTTGGCCACCGCTCCCCTTCATTTTATGTGTGTTCAGAAGCAAATTTCCTTGATTCTCTGAAAGTGCATTTTAATTTCTATACAATTTCTTCACAATATTAAGCTGGCAATAGAGGCTAGGTGGTTAAGGTTGCTAACTTTCAATCAAACACAGAAAATATGCGAGTTCAAATTCTATCAGGGACTAATTTTTTAATATGATGAAGCTATCCAGATAGCTGTATCACTGCTCAGATGCACACTCTTGCTGATTACTCAGTGGCTCCATATGGATATCCTTGTAACTTTATATTTCAAACGTCGGTTGTTCTACTCAGGTGCCCTTTCTTGCCTGAAATAATGCACAGAAGGGCACCTGAGGTCTTCCTCCACCAGTAAAGCTGGAACGTCGCCAAATGACCTATACTGTGTCGGTGTGACGTAAAATCATAACAAACAAAATTTCAAACAAAAAGAAATACTGAAAATTCACTTAATTTCGTGGGCATTAAATTTCATGGTTTTGTCACAAGGAACATTTTCGTGGATTCTCAAAACTGTTGTCTGTTTATTTTTCCAAAAGGTAACATGTAAATAATATGATGCAAAATAATCTTACAGCAAATGAAATGAAAATTTCATTGAATCTTAAATTCGTGAATTGACTTATCCATGAAAAACCATGAAAATTAGTTCACCACGATTATTAATGATTTTGCAGTAAAAGGTGCGTTTACCTCAGTACATTTTTGTACATGTTATATGGTGCATGATTAGCTGACGTGTGTAGATTAAAACAACTGCTCAACTTCTGTAACACTGAATATTCTGCTGGCTTCGTCTGGTTGTAAAATAGCAGGAAATTTCTGTAAACAGAACACATTCATGCAAGTACATATACTGCTTTATATTGACAAACAAAAGTTTTCTTTTTGTCATGTTAACAAACAAAACAAATACTTATTTAAAATCAATGTCCTCCCCCCTCCCATACTTTACACTAATGATCATGACCTGTTAGTAAATTTATTGGGTCTTTACCTCATCAACGGGCATGAATATGTCACTTTAATGTTTGGAGGTTGTAGGAGTTACAAACAGTCCAAAAACAATATAACCCTTCTGCTTCTTTTTTTCCAGGGCATAAAAAAGAAATAAAATCTCTTTGTATCAAATATTTATTGTGAATTGCCTAAAATTGAAAATGAATAAAAAATTTAGCACGAGTCCCCAAAAATTGGACAGTTATGAAATGGGAGTTGGATTAGTCCACTTCAGGACATTCATTAGGATAAGGGAGAAAACATTGTTTCATGCAGGTAAAGAGGGAGGGGTATACTCACTTTCCAGATGCAGGTAATCTGAGCAATGATTTGGATGATGAGCATTTCCCTATATCACTATCACTAATGTATGTTGCTGATGATATATATTCCTTTATCAAAGTGTCATAATTTGTCACAGAAAGATGTTCAGTTCCTAGTAACACTGGATCCTTTTCCCTGAAAAACATTAATACAAAGCTTGTTCAACGCAATGACATTATTTATCATAACTTTTACAGTTTATTAAACATGTTATTTCATTAACCATATTATTGTAGTAACTGTGTTATTTCAGCTCATTTGTGAAGAAAGCTTAAATAAAAGTTATTTTGAACCAGTTTCAAGTCTGCTTCCTTGAACTAAGCAGTATAAATGTCATGTAATGAAACATGATTGTGACCCACATCAGGTTAAAACTCATGAATCATTCATGACCAAAGTACAATGTACATGTATGGCTAAAACAATGAAACTAATGATCCCTGATCTATTAAAGGTAATATAAGCTCAAATTTCTTAAATTTTTGAAGATAATAATTCAGCAAAAATTTCATCAGTTACGGATATTGGTCAGTGACTTACAATAATGTTCTGGAACAGGTTTTGAGTTGCAAGTTAATACTTTCAATACCTGTGGAGATAGACCTTGCATGCTAAAATCCAACAAGGAAATTTTTAAGAAAGTTCAGAATATACTATGTCTAAGTTAAAAAAACCCACATAAAACACTAGCTTCAATACCTTAAATCAGGGTCTTTAAATTTCAAACCAGCCCTGACACCACAGTAAGTAGGGTAACTCTGCTATTCTTTATATAGAAAAGTAATGTCATTGAAAAAATGTTCTTACAGATTTGTCTCCCTTGGCATATTAAATAGATGAACAAGAAAGTCTTCATCTGAGTTAAATCCCTGGTATGGGTTCCTGAAAACTCTTGATACGTCTGGTACCAGCATGTATCCACCATGGGACTGGTTGTACATGGGTAGTGACCAACCATACCAAGTTCTGAAAATACAAAATTTGAACATATTTTGTAACCAGTAAAAATATTACATAGCAACATATTCATTTTCAAAAACATGTACATGAATATGAAATTATAATTGTAATACAAATAAAATCATATATTCAAAGTAAGAGATTAGAAAGAAAGACATTCTTATGAAATTCTTCTCCAAACGCCTTGGCTACCCCTAAGTACCAAAATATTTCAATATTATCAATATTTCTGATAGCATAAGGAAGTTTATATTACTTTAATCACAGGTTAATCATGTTTTTGATGTAATTACATGTACTATCATTCATATAGGGAATAATTGCCCTTGAATAATATGCGTAGTTTTTTTTTCCAGAATTTTATACCTTTTCACGATTTTTGTACAAGAAATTCATATTTTAAAGGAAAAATGGATTTTTGCATCATCAAGAAAACTTTATCAAATTAAACAAATTGAACAAGAGCAGTCAGTAAGACAGTAAGAAAAGGAAAATAACTCAGTAAAAAATATCTCAGAGTAATAGGGCCTGTGTCCATTATTTTAGATAATCACAGAGAACAAGTGTGTGAAGTTTCAAATCATTCCTTCAGTAGTTTTGGAGATACCAATTTGCATGCAAAAACTTAATCAAAGTGTGATGGCAACACCAATGCCTGGGTTAGTACAATAATTAACATTTCAAAACAATGAAAATATCATAATATCATTACATCAAGGTTTCACTTCTAAAGTACACATTTCTCCACTGTATCCCTCAATAGATATTTACATGTATTTTTTCTAGCGTTAAAGCAGCACGCCTCCAGATTTATGCTTATTTTCATGAAAATTTTGAAAATGTATTTGAATGTGTAATATTGTGAAGTAACCAAAAGAAAGCAATTTACACATTATCATTTGCACTTACAAACCACATAAATTACAAAAAAGTAGTCAAATATCCTGAAAAAGCCCTTACTGCGTTAGTAACGCAGTAGAAATGTAGTTGTAAATACTGAAAAATCAGTCATAAATTGCACAAAACATGTAAAATATTACTTGAATCTTGAATCTTTTTACTTTTTCTTACATCTTAGTACATTTTCTCAAGTTTGATTTTATTGAAATATTTTGACTCATCTGGAGGCATGTAGCTTTAAAATTTATAATACATATTTTACCTATTACTGCAACATGATTGAAGACTCCCCTTCATTCGCTCTCTATATACTGACATTTTTATCATAAAACCAAGCCCCGGGAAATCATCTACCATGTATACAAGGGATTTGTTACTGGATGTTTCCTTATTCCCTGTAACATAATTATAAAAGGTATTGTTATTACAAATTTTTTGGAAGAGTTTTAATGTTGCACCAACAAAGTATAGGTCATATGACGACTTTCCAGCTTTACCGATGGACTTCACATGCCCCTCGGTACATTTATATTTCAGGCACAAACGAGTACCTGAGTAAAACCACTGACGTTTTGTTACTAGAACATAATCAAATTGACAGATATAAATACTCAGTAATTTTATCATTATAAACTGCATCAAAACTTTTCAAAAAATATCATATAAAGCTCTATAAACTAATGTTTTACAAAACATTTTTATTTGTGATATACTGCAAAACCGTAATATCATATCACAATTAATTTTTATGGAAAACCTGTTTTCCAGGATTTTGTGGACAGGCAAATTTGCTAAATTAAGATTCCGTCAAAATATCACTTCATGTACATTGTATATGGATAATCACTGCAAAGTCTGCTACATCTTGTTGGGGGCATAATTTAACTTCATTCAGACCTACAGAGGTGATGGTTCAAAGATACAGCAAATTTTAGCCATTTAGTGATTCTAAAATTGAAGGAAAATCATGCCACGGATGCCCCCGCATGCAGCCAAAATTTCAGATGGTGCATTAATTATTTTTTTCATTTTAAGTTCAAAGCCCTTAAAACTTTTCAATGTTAACACAAACCATTTTCATACAATGTTCAAGGCACTGAAATTATTCAGTCTTAACCTTTTAAAAATAGCATATTGCATATTTGTAGCCAAAATAATGGCTAAAAGTATGAGTGCTGAAACTGAAAGTTCAATATTTTACCAACATTCAGGAAAGATAAGTTTGTCTAAAATCATTGAACCATGACCAAATTCAAACTTAAACTGCTTATTCCTAAGATGTATCTATATTATTTTCAAAGCGAAAGGGACATAACTCTGCCAAAAAATCATCAAACCATGACCAAATTCCAACTTGACCTGCCAATTCCTTTGACATATCCATATGTCAAATTTAAATTGAATATGTAACACTGTTGGGTAGATAATGTACAGAAACTGTAAATTTCATATTATTTTCAAAGTGAAAGGGGCATTATTCTGCCAAAAATCATTGAACCATGTCCAAATTCGAACTTGGCCTGGGCATTCCAAAAACATATCCATATGTCAAATTTGAGTTGAATGTGTTGTACCATTGGGGAGATAATAAACGGAAACTGAAAATTTCATATTACTTTCAAAGTGAAAGGGGCATAACTCTGCCAAAAATCATTGAACCATGACCAAATTTGAACTTGACCTGCGCATTCCTTTGATGTATCCATATGTCAAGTTTGAGTTGAATGTGTTGTACCTTTGGGGAGATAATGTACCTTTGGGGAGATAATGAACGGAAACTGAAAATTTCATATTGTTTTCAAAGTAAAAGGGGCATAACTCTGCCAAAAATCATCGAACCATGACCAAATTCAAACTTGACCTGTATCTTTTTCATGACATATCCATATGTCAAATTTGAGTTGAATGTGTTGTACCTTTGGGGAGATAATGAACGTAAACTGAAAATTTCATATTATTTTCAAAGTAAAAGGGGCATAACTCTGCCAAAAATCATCGAACCATGACCAAATTCGAACTTGACCTGTATTTTCTAATGACATATCCATATGTCAAGTTTGAGTTGAATGTGTTGTACCTTTGGGGAGATAATGAACGTAAACTGAAAATTTCATATTATTTTCAAAGTGAAAGGGGCATAACTCTGCCAAAAATCATTGAACCATGACCAAATTCGAACTTGACCTGTATTTTCTCATGACATATCCATATGTCAAATTTGAGTTGAATGTGTGCAACCGTTCTTAAGATAATGAACGGAAACTGATGATGACGGAATGACAGAATGGCGGAAGGACGAAATGACGGAACAGGGTAACACTATATGCCCCGGCCATTACATGGCGGGGCATAAAAACAATGCCTAAATAATTCAATAAATTTATCTTACCATTAAAATTGAAAGTAGAAACACCTAGAAGAGAAGGATCTTTGTCTAGGACAGATGTACATTGTGAGAGAAAATACAGGAAATCTGGTGATAACACAAGCTCTTCTTCTAGTACTATCATGTATTTCTGTAATAATACATCATTTATTTATAGGATACACATTTCTGGAGTAAGTATGTAAACATTTAAAGTAATATACATGTAAAGTCTTAAGTTCTATGCTGTGGGCACATTCAAAGACTTTATAAATCAATGTCATTTAAGAAACTCATATGAATATAGTTTTTACAGGATTTAGTTTAGTTCCATGGTATAGGAAGTTAAAAGTTTTGAGACACATTCTCCAATCTCTTCCTGGACCTAACCAGGCTCCAAGGTTATAAAACATTTTCCTTAGATCAAGCTGGAATCTAGGGATTTTCATTGGTCAATTCACATTCTGTGTTGTTTATGACCAATCAGATACCTGAGATCCGAGTTAGAGATTAGAATATTTCTTTATAACCTCGGCCCCAGTAATGTGCAATCCATTTAAAGTTTCTTGCTGAAGGAAACAACTGCTTCCCATTGAAAGGGTTTGAACCCCTGCAGCTAAAGATCCTTAGATTACTAATCTGTAGCTAAACCACACAACCACACAAAATTATTATTGTTGAAGCTATGTCATATTACTTAGTAATGAAAAAGAAAGCCATTGTAATACATTGAGCACAACAGAAAGATATGTAATTTGAGTTTAGTTCAACACAAATGATAATCTAAAAATCACCAAGTATTTAAATTTCAATATCATAATGTATTGTTGGTCTGACAAAATCTAAAATTTATAATTTGTTCATAACTTTGCCTATTGAATTCAAAATTCTACAAACTTTTTATAGATTTAAACATTCATAAACTTACAGCTTTTGGGAAAACACTGACTGCTTTCTCCAATGCCTTTATCACCTGTTCTGTAAATGATATACATATATGCCTTTATTAAAAATATGAAAAAGTGACTTCACAAGTCATGCACTTATACTTAAAATACAAATATGTTTTGCCTGTTGTTCTTTTTTAGATTTATATCTAGATGAAAATAGAAAGTCAAGCAAAATTCATTTGATCTTGAAGGTTAAGATTATTTATGAGTCAAGGTCAAGTTTTGTCTGGTCTCCTTGAAGGTATTGTCCAAAGGGTTATTGTAATCCATTAAGAAATAAAAAAATAATGGACAAGTTTCTGGAAGGCAATGGCAGGGGCAACAACAACCTGACGGTAGCAATGTAGATTTTATTTGAAAAAAGCGAGCTAAAAGACAATTGCATTGTTGATAAAGATATTGTAAGAAAAACAATATTGACTTCATTTCCTCGTAAATCTGGGAAATCATCATTTTTAGATAAAATAGTACCTGTATACATCACACTGCCATCTAAACTAATGTTGCGGAATCCAAACAAGTTTGCCAAGTCTGATAACTCAGGAAACTTCTCGTCAAACATCACCTACAATAAATAATTGTTTCCATTAAGTACTTGTGTTTCTTGGACTTTTTACATCGAAAATTCAGTCAAATAAACCCTTACGCTGCTTACAAGATGGATTTACTCTTTACTGGAATATTCCCTAATATGAAATGATTTTTTACTTTTTTATGGTACTTTCATTATAGGCTAGTATAGAAATCATTTTCACCCGACTGCATTAGTCACACAGTCGAAATATGGTAATAAATACTGTAAAATCAGTCGTTCATTTAATATAACATCTAAATCATAACTTTAATAGTGACTATTTTTAACTTTTCTTTAAATCTTAGTTCATTTTTCTCCCCTTTGATTTTCTTGAAATGCTTTGGCTAATTTGGATGCATGCAGCAGCTCTAAAGCATGTTTTTCCATTTCATGTACTTTCTGTAGCATACATATATATATATGTATATGAGCCGCGTCATGACAAAACCAACATAATGGGTTTGCGACCAGCATGGATCCAGACCAGCCTGCGCAGTCTGATCAGGATCCATGCTGTTCGCTATCAGTTTCTCTACTTGTAATAGGGTTGGTAAGCGAACAGCTTGGATCCTGATCAGACTGCATGGATGCGCAGGCTGGTCTGGATCCATGCTGGTCGTAAACCCATTATGTTGGTTTTGTCATGGCACGGCTCAAATATTACTTGTACTTAAACCATGTGGAATGTATTGTTAACTTACATGTATTTACATATGTATGATATATAGTGAAAGGATGCTGGACATAGGACAGTGAGAGGTTCTTGCCTAAAAATATTTTATTAACAGTATTGATTTAAACAGAAAGTATAATTACACAATTAACTACAGTTTTGATTTATACTCATTATGAATCTACTAACCAGAACATTTTCTGGATTGATTCCTTGTTGCATTATTGTTGTCTCCATGGTTCTAACAAGAGCATTGTGATTCAAACCTAAAAACACACCAAAAATACAAAATCATATATGATTCATCACTCATACAAAATTACAGATGATTCTCTCTTAGTTTACAATAAATGGGCATTTTACAGTTGATCCAAATATTGATTTTGTTCCTAAAATTGATCCTGATCTTGATCTGATTATCTTTAAATTTGTATTATTTGTCCATTATATACCAAAATAGGGCTGTGTCTTTGCAAATCAGCAAATTCTTACATTTTTGTTTATGTTTCATTTAATTTCAGCATTATACGATCAATTTTAGTTAAATTAATCAATACAAATAAAATCAGGACCATTTGATCCTGATCTTACTGATTACATACTGATTAGCTTTAGTGAACACAAGGTCAAGGGTCATATTCAAAGTCAGGAAAGCCAAAATTGGTGTGTGGCAGTAGATCTTGGCTATTGGATCTAATGGTTATTTGACTCTCATTTTCAATTAAGAAATCATGTGGGACTATAAGTTGGTCACTTATAAAGAAACTGATAATTACTGATTTCTTATCCAGGAAAGCCCATCTGTTGGAACGACCACAGAAATACAATCAAAAATTGATAAAATGGGCTTAAAAACCTATTAAACAACAATAATTAATTATGATATACCTGGAATAATAACAATTGGAGATGAATATACAGGGTTTTCCTTCAATTGCTCATCTGTATGTTTGGCTGGCACTATAAATGGATCATCCACATGCTCCGCTAAATAAGTTAATTAGAAAAATCATATGATTTCCTTATCTTTTCTAATTATAATTAGTCTTATTTAAAAACAAATTGTGATATCCTTAACATTCCTACTCATAATAAGTCTCATTTAAAAACGTTTTATTAAGTATACTATATTTACGACAATGATCGTTTAAACACAACAACTAGTTCCAATTCTGTAAAAATATTAATGAACAAGAACTGGTTTGGTCAATTACTCAAGAGCAAGAACAAGTTGAGTTCAGTACTCATGAGAAAACATGGGTTTAGTAAAGTACTCATGAGCAAATATCTGGTTTAGCAAATTCTTCATGGGCAATAATCAAATGTACTTAATGTATTTAATTAAACACTTGTAGGCAAGATCAGGCTTAGTCAAGACCTCATGAGAAAGTCAGTCAAGCTGGATCAAGAACTGGCTAATTCAAGCTGGAGCAAGAACTAATTTGTCAACTACTCATGAGCAAGAACTGGTTTAGTTAAGTCTTCATGACAAAAACTGGTATGTCAAGCATATGAGCAAGAACTGAATTTGTTGACTACTCATGAGCAAGATAAAGTTTTGTCAGGTACTCAGTGAAAAACAACTGGTTTTGTCAAGTACTCAACGACAATAAAGTATGGAAAAAAACAAAAAGAAATCTTACGGTTGCAGAAATCGCCATATCCATCAAATTTTTTACAAAAATCCCTTCGAGCATCATTTCTATTGGCTGGAGGATCTGGGATAATATCACTTCCTTCTACTGTAAAATCAAATAATAAATGCACATGTTGTTTAAGCATTTAACCTAAGTCAATCATTAAAAAATTAATATGATTAAACTGATTATTAATAATAACAGGTTTTGCATACAAGACAGTTTCAATCATTAATTCATATTTCTGCTTGAGTAACATCATTACTGTTAAGACTGGTGACTTTACATCTAGACATCAAATGCCCCTTTGTGAATCATTTCAGGTACAATTGGGCACAAGAGTAAAAAGTCAGCTACTTTTACAAATTAGCCACAGTTTCAAGATGGCAAGGGAGTAAAACAACAGAATTCACCCCCCCCCCAACCAATAAGAAAACAAGAGAAAAATTTTAAACTTTAAGAAATCAGGGAGAAAATATTTACTTTTATCAGGAACACATAACCTATCTTGTAGAGGTGTTGGCCATTCAGCATCCATTCCTGCATAACTTATCTGAAAATTAATAAAAATAAGTCATTTGTCATCATTCCAGCTTTACTGATGGATGAAAACCTTAACTACCCATGTAATGCTAAATTGCAATAAAGTTGCTGTTTACACAGATATTTAAAATAAAAATATGCTGGTGGTAGAATAATATCAGACAGAAATCAATTTTCAGACAATTAAGAGCTTAGTGAATAAGATTTTACCTCCACAATTTTAAAAGAGTTCTAGACAAAACAGTAAATTTCCTAATGAAAAATGGGTAATTACAGTTAATCAATCTTGATGTAAAGTGTACCTTCACAGCTTAATTTGTTTGGTTTAATTGCCAATTTTAACACATTTTTGGTCATATCTAGGGTGTTTACTAACCGGTAATTACTTATTTCTCTGCAAGTTACTAACCACTAATCCCATATGATTTCTGAATCAATAGTGATAGACAAATGACCATTAGACACAATGTCTGAGATCAATCGACACACAGAAATATTGGTTAACCGGAGGATTTAACCGGTAATTCCTGTATTACTTATCCACTGTCCTCTCTATTAAGCTTTGCAGCAGGACATATACAATGTCATGGAGAAATTTCACCTTGCAGGAGGATTGAACCAGGGACCCTCAGAGAACAAATCTAATGCTCTCCCTATTGAGTTAAGTGGGCGGACTACATTGCAAGTCTTATAGCAAGAAGATATACCTTCTCCATGTTGGTGAAGCCTTTGATACCTTTCTGACCAATAAAATACCAGACGTCTCGGAACTTGATATTCTGGGCCATGCTGCTCCCTAGTTCATTAAGTAGCTCTCTTGTATGAAAGGCCAGTCTAAAAATTGATACAAAACTAGTGTTTTAAATGTGAAATAATGTTAAACTAATTTGTTATTTATTACAAAATCTAACTGGAAACACAGTCATTCAAAGTTTAAAATAAAATAAATAAAGTGTGGGTGATTTTGGTTAAATGGAACTTATTTAAGCTAAGTTGATCTAAATTGGTATCATAAATAGAGGATATTAAATGAGAGTAGGTTTAATACTAAATTTATTGAGAAAGTTGATATTACTCAAGCCTCTAGCAAGCATGACATTGTTTTATTCAACAAGTTCAATAAATTTTAGTATTGAATGTAATATTCTATTTATCACATATTTAAAATAAGAACGTTTTACAGTAAAAAAAGCCATTTTTCATTGACATGGCTTTTTATTAAATGGCTTTATTACACTCCTGCACCATAGTTTATGTGATAAATGAAATTTAAGGTAAGAATGAGTCTGTGACAATATAGTTTACTTACTTTCTGGAAGCATCATCAAATGCCACAGCAATTATAATATCTCCAGCCATCATACTTTCTAAATATAACTCCATGTTTGTACTGTCTGAAATATTTAAAATCATACTATATTAATTATTGTGATATTTCTTAAACTATTGCAAAGATAGTTTATGTGCTTATTTGTGCCAAGCAACTAAATGAGCAAACAAGTTCAAAAAATCCAAAATTTTAGCAAAAACTATGAAAGTTGCGATTCATGTAACCCATTTTCATGTTATATCTGTATATGAGCAGTGCCATGACAAAACCAACATAATGCGTTTGCGACCAGCATGGATCCTGACCAGCCTGCACCTCCGGGCAGTCTGATCTGGATCCATACTGTTCGCTTACAAACCCTATTACAAGTAGAGAAACTGATAGCGAACAGCATGGATCCTGATCAGACTGCTCGTATGCGTAGGCTGGTCTGGATCCATGCTGGTCGCAAACCCATTATGTTGGTTTTGTCATGGCACGGCTCATTTAAGTATGAATTTACTCTTGTTACTATGTCTAGGTAAACTATTCTTACTTTGTCTAAATTTAGTGGGTTTTTTTTTACTATACCTGAATTCAATTTTTTCATGATGTCAGATTTTTTTCACTACCATATTGCAGCCTTGCAACCCTGTTACTATGGAAGTGTGGACAATTGGTTTTTGCATATTTACCAGTTCACACATTTTAGGGGAAATTATTATAATAATAGGGTCTAATGCCAATTCCGTTCACCTGAGAATATTTTAACTTTTTTAAACTTTTTCTTTACCTTTGAAAAATTATTGTAATATAGAATTTTGCAGCTTTAAAGATCTCCCTTTTTTTATAGTTATAATGTCTGTATCATATTTTGCAGTATAGTTTTAATGATGAAGAAATACTAGTAAAAGATTATGATTAATTCTTCAGGAAAAAATATCTGCAACCCATCAGTACTGGCTTTTCAAATATACTTCAGCATTATAAGTCAATAGGTAAACACAAGAAACTTTAGCCAGTGATAAAGCTTTAACTTGATAGATATCTGCTATAGAATAACCTTGCTTTGAATTTGGAATGGTCCATTATCAATTTAATTAACTTTATTATCAAAAGATTATCACAAAGTTTAAGGGAGTTTATTCATTGGCAAGGAAAAACAAACAATTTTTTCTATTACTGGCAAGAATGAAAGACTAACAGAACAGAATGTATTAATATTACTCATGTGAGCAGGTTTGTTCTGCTCTGGTTGCACAGGCATGTTGTTTTCATATTTAGCATTCAAATGGTAAACGTGTTTAATTTAAGAAATTTAAATGAGCCACGTCATGACAAAACCAAAATAATGGGTTTGCGACCAGCATGGATCCAGACCAGCCTGCGCATCCGCGCAGTCTGATCAGGATCCATGCTGTTCGCTATCAGTTTCTCTACTTGTTATAGGGTTTGTAAGCGAACAGCATGGATCCTGAACAGACTGTGCGGATGCGAAGGCTGGTCTGGATCCATGCTGGTCGCAAACGCATTATGTTGGTTTCGTCGTGACACGGCTCAAGTTAAGAAATCTCACCTTTCTCGTAGGTATCAAACCTCATAACAGACTTGGCGTTACCAGTGTGTTGATCTATAATCACAACATTAAGTCCTCGTCCTGCATTATTTACCTCACTATCCATTATCCTATAAATCACACAGTGAAAGTAAATTTTTTTTGTTCATAGAAAAAATTTAACAATGTTTGTGAAAGAATAATACAACCATTACTATGCTTAATTTGTGTAATTGACTTGTCCTGTTTTAAATTTGGAACCAGATTATACTGGTGACATCTCAGCTAGCTCTTAAAAAGTTATAGTCCCCATCCAAATCACCAGGGCAATGTGATAATTCTATAAATCTTTATGTTCGTGTTTTTTGTTATTATTAGTTTTTTGATGGATTTTATGTTGCATCAACACAGTATAGGTCATATGTTTACTTTCCAGATTATTGGTAGAGGAAGACCTCAGGTGCCCTTCTATGTGTTTTTTCAGGCACACACACGCACCTGAGTAGAACCAACAACATTCCATAAGCTAGCTGGAGCGCTTCCTCAAATGAAAGAATCCAAAATTTACACATGTCTGGTTTCTACACCAGTTTCATCACATTTTCGGTCTTATCTATGTGGGTAGTGGATCTAACCTGCTTTCCTGAACAACTAATCAGCTATTACCAAATTTTTCCCTCAAGATTTCTTTATCAGTGGATAGACACAAAAGACAATTAGTTCCATTGTCCAAGATAAATAGTTAAACAAGTGACAATACAGTTGATAACAAAGAATTGTCTTTTAATTGCCTGAAACTGATAGTATCTGAACCAATTTGAAACAGCCAAGATTAAAACATATCATAATTTCTTTATCATTTGCTAATGTACCTATGAAAATCATTTTCTCCAATGGACAGACATACCAATAAATCAATCAATAAATCAACTTCAATTTGTATATTAAACTAAAATGTACATATACTTACATGAAGCCATTGACACAAATTTCAGGTAACTTAGTACTGTCTTTACCAGTACTGACCATAACTGGAATATGTCTGTCAGGACAGCTGCTGTCTCTACCACAATGTTCCACAGCCTTCCCTAATGTTACCTTCTTGTTGGATATCAACTGGTTGATCACTTCTTCCACAGCCAACAATGGTCCCACTGACACACAATGTTATAACTCACATGTAATACTATCACATTTATGTTATGTTTAAACATACTTATATTAGCTCAAATGTGATGAAAGCTTGAAGATTATATTTAAACCTCTCTTATATGCTCTTCCTTGAACTTACAAATACAATGTCTAAAGTATACACAATAAAGCTCTCCCAACTCCTAGAATAGTCAAGCTAAAATTCCCTGACCTACAGTTATGAGTGTTAGGCTGTCCAAACTCCAAAACTTTTACAAACAAATACTGGGAAGCTACAAGCTTCATTACGTTATTTGAAAACCGTCACATACTTACATGGCATGGTGAAGCAACCTTGTCTTGCTGTACTGTCACTATAGATTTTCTCCCCTTTACTTTGTACCTGGACAAATATTGCAGATAAAAGATTAAAAGGTAAGCAATGTAACTAAAGTTAAGATCTTCTTATGTTTTTACAAGAAGAGGCATTAAGACAAAACACATTATCGGAGCTGACTACAATTTTATTCTAATGCCTGCTGTCCCTTATAATTATGACATGTTTAATAACATTAAGTTTAATGAAGATGTTCAAAGTGTGCCTTCTCATTATTATGTAGGTGAGAGAAAATACCAGATTATACACACAAGACTTAGAACACATTGTAGTTCTCTCAAAGAACATTTGTTTTCAAAAAACATAATAGAAAGTCCCCTATGTGAATGTGGCGACATAGAAAACACATCTCATTATTTCTTCTCGTGTCCAAGGTACCAAGATGAACGAAATGTCCTCCTTAATAATTTAAGTGAAATAACAACTGTCACACTTAACGTTTTACTCTATGGTGATAATTCAATTGCTGACGATTTAAATGAAGCAATAGTCCTTCATATACACTCATATTTACACAGAACAAAACGTTTTGAAATGTAATAGAAAGTTATTATTTCTAATAATATGAAATAGAGATTTAGATGCATAATATCTTCTCAAAAGTATATTATAAACTCGTTCCATCAACTCCATAGTATTTAAGTGAACATTTCCTGTTGTCTTTCTATTTCTTTCTCTCGAATCTGTCTCTTGTTTTCCTACCTTCTATTACCCAACAATTTCAACAATTAACTTACGTTTCCATATCTTTATTTACCTTCTATTACCCAACAATTTCAACAATTACCTTACGTTTCCATATCTTTATTTTTCTTTATTTTTTTTTAAACACGTTTAAATGTTCTATTATTTTACTTGATAAGTTTAAACGTGCTAATTTGTGCATTTATGCTATAGAGCTATAGGGTTTTCTTTCGCATTTTTATGTCTAAATTCTATTATTAAGGTCGTTTCGATTAGGAAAACCAGAGTGCAAATTGCTAACTTTCTTGTACATGTAAAGAAGCAAGTTTATAGTGAAAATGTTATGTATATTTAACACAAAAATGCATATAATTGTTACCATTTTACATACTCTTTGAGATAGTGATTACGGAAAGAGTTTCTAAAAAAGCTTAGCTTCCTACTCAATCCGTACTACATGTATTTATTATTTGTCAATTATCATGTAAATGTAATACTTATAAATAAAATATTGTTTAAACTAACATTAAGTCTACTTGTGTCAAAAGAATTCATAACATTAAAAACTCAAGTCTTAAGGTTTCTCCTACGAAATGTCAAAGACAATGTATTTATAAACTTACAGATTCAATGGCATAACCCTGTTTGAGACCTTTCTGACCAATCAGCAGGAAGGAATCTCTAAAGCCAACCTGGTCAATAAGTTCACTACCAAACATCTTCACCCATTTATGGCCTTCTTCACTTAAACTAGAAATTAAAATCATTTTTTTTCATATATAAATATTAACTTGGCTTAGCAGCTGAACTTACTCATATAACTAACTTATGGACAAAAATAATCAATATGAAATTACACATATGCCTAACTTATGAATGTAACTGATAAATATGCAATTACCTATAAGTCTAAGTTATAGAAGAAAACAAACAAAATGAAATTTCACAAAAAAATTTACTTATTGATAAAAATAAAAAGTATGAAATTGAACTTATGGCTACCTTAGGGAAAAAAATAATCTAACTTACATAAAATATATGCATAACTTACGGATAAAATAACCATTTTAAGATTACACATATGTCTAACTTATGGATTACTAAAGAAAAAAAATATGAAATTAAATATATCCCAAACTTACAGATCAATATGAAATAACATATATGCATTATTTATGGATAACTTAGGGATAAAAGTAATCAAAATGAAATAATTTATATGCCTATGTTGTACATAAAATAACATAGCGATAAAAAATACAGAACATAGAAGGTTTTCTTATAATTTCACTACAATTATGATTTAATCATGAAAATTTGTCATCACTTTAGTTTAAATACATATTTACCGGTATATATGAGATTCAAAACGTTTAATAAGTATGCAATAACCAACAAATTTAGAATCGCAATACTGTACTGTACTGTAAGTTGAATTAGTATGCAATAAAACATTAATTTGGTATCATAATAATAATACAATAAATTGAATATATATATACACTTATTATCTTATTATCATAATACACTTAGTTCAATTAGTATGCAACAGCTTATTGACTTAAGAATCAAAATAACAGATACGCTATATTGAATTAGTATACAAAAATTTATTGTCTAATATCAGATACACTAAGTAATCATCTTACCAGATACACTAAGTTGAATAAATACACAACAACCTACTGACTTTAGAATCATAATATGAGAAACACAAAGTTGAATTAGTATGCATAATAGTTACAATGTGTCACAAAACATTGAATTAGTATGCACACACTTCTGCATATTCTTTATTTGCATGAAGTTAAATTAGTAAGCAAGAGTTTTCTCATGCTAAAAAGTATGGTTAAATTAGTATGCAAAATACTGCTACAGAAATACAGTTTCTGCAATTTGAACTAGAACTATCACTAAATGTGATTAATCCCCCGCAAGACTGCTTAGGAAATGAGAGTTACTAGTAACAGAATACCTTGCAAAAGAACTGAAATAGAGTCATGGTTGTGGGCAATTAAAGATAGTTCTTGTATGTTGCATTTCCTTTCAATGTGGTTGACCATTGATGAAGTTTTATTGAATTACTCTGTTATAAGTCCAAAAAGAGTTACGCTTCTTGAGCACTGCACTTCCTCTCATTGCGCTTGACCATTGAATGAAGTTTCATTGAATTCTAAACATTAGTTTTAAAGTTATGCACATGACAAGGAAAAGGAACATAGGGCAATAACTCTACAAATACTGAAGATGGAGTTAATGTACACTGCACTTCCTCTCATTGCGCTTGACCATTGTAGGAAGTTGTATTGAATTCCAAACATTAATTATCAAGTTATGCACTGGACAATAAAAAGTAACAAAGGGCAAAAACTCTTAAATTAGTCAAAAGAGAGTTATGGTTTCTGTGCACTGCGCTTTCTCTCAATATACTTGACTATTGTATGAAATTTTATTGAATTCCAACTAGTAGTTTTAAAGTTATGCTGTTACAAGAAAAAAGCAATGGAAAAGTCCGACCGACCACAGAGTGACTCCTATATACCCCCCCCCCCCAAACTTCGTTTCGGGGGTATAATAAGTGCACAAAGTAAATTACAAGTACATGTTATCAAAATAGCTTTATCATGAATAAGTACAGGAAAAAGAAAACAAGAAATCTCTTCAAATGTGCCCATGAATTCAATATGGTGATTATGTTTGATTATTATATAAATAAATAAAACGAAATGAAAGAAATCCATTGTATGTTAGTGTGTTAACTCTATCTGTTAGAACACTTCAGCTTATATATAATTCTATCAAGTATACTACTCAGAAAAATTACTTTTTATACATGTTTTCTGACAATGACTACCACCGCAAAAAATTTAAAACAAAGTTAAAAGACTAGATCCCTCTTTATGGAAAAAAAACAGACAAATAAAGTTTATTACCTTTTTTGAACTTGTTGAAAATAAAAATATATTACCCTAGCCACAGGCTCGCATAATATAATTTTATTCAACTCGTTCAATAAATTTAGTATTGAACCTACATTAATTTAATATCCTCTATGTATTATTAACTTCTAAGTACCAACATACGGTGAAAGTTTCACTTATTATACAGTAGAACTTCTATGAGTCGAACTTCGATTAGTCAATTTTTACGATGTGTCGAAGTAAAATGAAAATCCCGATTTTTTCCCTTATATATTCCTTATAAAAACCTATGTATGAGTCGAGATTTTATGTGTCGAGTTTTTCAATGTGTCAAAGTTTTTCGTGGTCCGTATATAATAAATCTACAATTTACCACAAATAAGTTGAAGTTCTTCGGTTATTTTGACACCTTTGATCTCGAGGCATTTTCAAACCTTTTCTGGCCGCGAAGACGACTTCCGATCAAATTTAGGGACAGGTGTTAATTACACAGCCGAGTGTTTTGACAGTCTTTGTATGCGTTTAAATGTGTGAAAATGCTCTATCATTACTATTTAATTGCTGTAGTGGTATTTGAAAGTACATGTAAACAGTAAAAACTATCATTTGAGTATTTCCGTGACCCGCTGTTGCATGAAAATCACACGTGAAATATTTACTATAAGCTGTTTTAGTTATTGCCCTTTTGTATTGTTCGCCTTTTGTAACTTCATTGTATACGTCACGTCAACAGGGAGTCCAAATCATTAGCCGTGAAAAGTAACTTAACATGTCATATTTATCATTGTATAATGTAAAGTATCAGATAAATGAATGAAAGAAAAACATGAAATAGGTTACATTATAGATCTTATAATAAGGGCTAGTCACGGGTTGAAATTTTGTCATGAAATTCAGACCGATTCATGAGTCGAAGTCCCGATGTGTCGAAGTTTTTACGCAAGTCCCTCCAACTTCGACTTACCGAAGTTCTACTGTATATGCAAAGATATTATTTCATTTGAACATTTTTAATATGAAGACAAGTAACCAAGGAAAAAAATCCCAAAAAGAACAAAAACAAAGAAATAACAAGGATACAACTAAATGATAAAAAAAAATTAATTTTGGAACAGTGTATATGCCATCGGATAAATAATACGAAGAAAACAAACAAGAGGGCCATGATGGCCCTGGATCGCTCACCTGACACAACTGCATCCAAGCAATGTCTTAAACAAGCATCATGGCCAAGTTTGATGACAACTAAGTCAAACATGTGACCTCTAGTGTGTTATAAAGATTTTTCCATATTTGGGCAATGTGACCTAATTTTTGACCGGACACGACCCATATTCAAACTTGACCTAGAAATCATCAAAACAACCTTCGTGACCAATTTCCTGGAAATTTGGATCAAAACTGCAGCCACTAGAGTGTTAAAAAGATTTTTCTATTTTTAGCTCCTGTGACCTAGTTTTTGACCGGACATGACCAATCTTAGCACTTGACCCAGAAATCATCAAAACAACTTTCCTGACAAATTTCCAGAATATTTGAATCAAAACTGCAGCCACTAGAGTGTAAACAAGCTTTTTCTATTTTTAGCTCCTGTGGCCTAGTTTTTGACCGGAGATGACCCATCTTCGAACTTGACCTAGAAATCATCAAAACAACCTTCCTGACAAATTTCCAGAATATTTGAATCAAAACTGCAGCCACCAGAGTGTTAACAAGCTTTTTCTATTTTTAGCTCCTGTGACCTAGTTTTTGACCGGAGATGACCCATCTTCGAACTTGACCTAGAAATCATCAAAACAACCTTCCTGACAAATTTCCAAAAGATTTGGATGAAAACTGAAGCCCCTAGAGTGTTAACAAGCTATATTTAGCTCCTGTGACCTAGTTTTTGACCGGACATGACCCATCTTCAAACTTGACTTAGATATCATCAAAAAAACATTCTTAACAAATTTACAGAATATTTAGATGAAAACTGCAGCCACTAGAGTGTTAACAAGCTTTTTCTATTTTTAGCTCCTGTGACCTAGTTTTTGACCGGAGATGACCCATCTTCGAACTTGACCTAGATATCATCAAAACAACCTTCCTGACAAATTTCCAGAATATTTGGATGAAAACTGCAGCCACTAGAGTGTTAACAAGCTTTTTCTATTTTTAGCTCCTGTGACCTAGTTTTTGACCGGACATGACCCATCTTCAAACTTGACCTAGATATCATCAAAACAACCTTCCTGACAAATTTCCAGAATATTTGGATGAAAACTGCAGCCTCTAGAGTGTTAACAAGCTTTTTCTATTTTTAGCTCCTGTGACCTAGTTTTTGACCGGAGATGACCCATCTTCGAACTTGACCTAGAAATCATCAAAACAACTTTCCTGACAAATTTCCAGAATATTTGGATGAAAACTGCAGCCACTAGAGTGTTAACAAGCTATTTCTATTTTTATCTTCTGTGACCTAGTTTTTGACCGGAGATGACCCATCTTCAAACCTGACCTATATATCATCAAAACAACCTTCCTGACACATTTCCAGAATATTTGGTTGAAAACTGCAGCCACTAGAGTGTTAACAAGCTTTTTCTATTTTTAGCTCCTGTGACCTAGTTTTTGACCGGACATGACCAATCTTCTAACTTGACCTAGATATCATTAAAACAATCTTCCTGACAAATTTCCAGAATATTTGGATGAAAATTGCAGCCTCTAGAGTGTTAACAAGCTTTTTCTATTTTTAGCTCCTGTGACCTAGTTTTTGACCCGAGATAACTTATCTTCGAACTCGATCTGTATTTCATTGAGACAAACATTCTGACAAAGTTTGATGATGATCCAATCAAAACTGTGACTGCTAGACTGTTAACAACCCAATTGTTAGAGTGTTAACAAGCTTTTTCTTTTTTTAGCTCCTGTGACCTAGTTTTTGACCGGAGATGACCCATCTTCGAAGTTGACCTAGATATCATCAAAACAACTTTCCTGACAAATTTCCAGAATATTTGGATGAAAACTGCAGCCTCTAGAGTGTTAACAAGCTTTTTCTATTTTTAGCTCCTGTGACCTAGTTTTTGACCCGAGATAACCCATCTTCGAACTCGATCTGTATTTCATTGAGACAAACATTCTGACAAAGTTTGATGATGATCCAATCAAAACTGTGACTTTTAGACTGGTAACAACCCAATTGTTGACGACGCAATACGCACGACGCCGGACATAGCCCCATCACTATACCTCACCTTGACCACTTCGTGGTCAGGTGAGCTAAAAACAAAGAAATAAGCTGCCCTAGCTTAATCCCACAACCATTTAATTCAAGTGATTTTGTAAAACAAACAAACAAAAACTGAAATTGTTAATATTATCTTTTAAAAGATCCTTGCAGAATTATTGTGTTGGGAACACATGACCTTAAACAGTACATCCCACCCACAAATAAATGTATATACATGTATATAACATGGCAGTCTAGAATACTTATTTCTTGATGTGACATATATGTTCCATATTTTATAGTCAATAACAGAAACATATACATGTATAAGCAACTTATTCTAGGAATACCATTACAAGTCACGAGTTCCCCTTTGTAAGTTAATTAGGTAGTTAATTTTGTTAGATCTCAACTGAAAACTTACCTGATCCCCTAAAATAGTAATATACAGGCAGACACATTTATTTCACACGAAAATATTATGTACATCCTAAAGATACATATCATAAGTCATTTTTGATTAAGGCAACAATGTATCAAACAAGAGATGTTGGTAGGACAGCATGCTTGACTATTCCCAGTGCTTGATAGTAAAACAAGAGCCTGGATAATGATTATGCAGAAATTTCTAATCTATAAAAAGGCCATAAGTCTATCAAAATCCATGTTAGTGTTATGGGCCTTAAATATAGATCTCAAATAAGAGTGTTTCAACTGGTTCCCTTCAGTATTTTTGGAGATAGCAACTTGAATGCAACAAAATAATCAAATTGTGAAACCGACATGGATGCGACCCCTACGTGAGTACAATTAGCTCTTCCTGTTTCTTCAAATAGTCAAGTTAAAATGGGTCTCAGTTGACAAACAAAGCTGCCTATATTCATTTATTTACAAAATCCCCACACAGAACATGTACTTTTTGCCAAATGAAGATTCAATTAACCCAAAGAATATGTCAGAATGCTAAGAGGAACACAAAACACACAGCTGATATAAACCTAAAGAGTTTTAAGCATTACAAAGTTTAATTGAGAAAGTAAACAGGGAAAAAAAGGCTTCTGAGACACTACACACTTACTTTTCTGTTATTTCATCAAAGCTTGCCATTATTACTAAATGACCTTCTTTGACCTTTGTCTTCATGTCTTTTATATATTCATAATCTAAAACAAAAAAACAGGGACAATATTGTCAACATTGAATTATAAGCCATAAAGTCAATACAAAATCTGAAAGGCTATCAATTTTTGTGATTCATCTGATACCTGTTTTATAATCATGCTGTAAATGGACATATTTTTAATCTAAAAGCCAAAAAAATATAAATGTTAAATGTGAAAAATTGAACTGTGCTCCTTATTCTTACCATCAACATAAGTGTCATACGCTTTCACATACTCCAATGCCAGTGTTTTATCTGAAAAATAATAAAAATCATTGGTCCTTATAAATTCTAATGCCACCACACTTGTGTTAAAGTAATTTAAAACCAAAGATGTAAATAAAATACTGATCTTTTTTTCAAGACCTGGTATCTGGGTCATGGAGATTATGTGGCTATTTAAGCATAGAAAATTGCTTTTTTTTCTACCGTTTTTGGTCTGCATGTTAAATGACTTGTCAATGACCTGAACCAGTCAGCCGTAAAAATTCCCATTTTTCTATATAATCCATATAAATTTTAGTAACTTGAAATAATAATACAGTTCAACTTACCATTGATAACAGCAAGATTTATCCCCCTTCCAAAATTCTGGAGTTTATCACTAATAACTCTGAAAAAGAAGATAAAATAACATTACAAGTAAAAATAACAAATATTTGCAAATTTATACTGTAGATAGAAGTCATGCGGTAGGAAGTGTTAAACAAAAGATGGAGTCATCCTGATCATATCCTTTTAAAACAGAATTTCATAAATATTTATCATTTACAAGTGCTATGTCCAAATGAACATCTTGCCCCTGGTGGTGACCTTGACCCTTAACTTTGTGACCTCTAAATGGGAAGTCATCAAGGTGCATTCACCTTTATAGGTGTTCATAGGCTGAAGATGGAAGGAATTCTTTCTTATGTTCAAGGTTTAAGTTTCCTGACAGACTAAAAACAATATGCACTCCTGATTTATCTATCTAGGTGCATAAATATAGAGAGGGGCATTTAGATTTTGAGTTAAATGTCTTTCAAATGTTTTGTCATATGTATCAGGTAAAACATTGTTAGTCTAATAATCAGCATGATTTCTCTGGAAACAATAAATTTTGAGTTAACAATGACATAGTTTGTTTATTCATGAACATTGATCCATACAACATATTCATTGTCGAATAACCATGGCTAATATGGAATAACCGACACCATTAACATGTCAACCGTAGGTATCTGACGATACAACTTATTATACATTCACAATAATCTAATTTCAATGTAACAGTGATATGTGATTTCTTATTTCTGACTGACCGGCATGAAAAAATCAGTCTGAAAAATGGGTCAAACCGCAATTGGCAAAATGTGAGATACATGCAAGTAAAGTCAGACTGTTAGAGCCTTTAGTCTAATACCAATTCTAACCAAGAATACAATGTTTCTCAGCATGCTTATCCATGTCATGTTTAATTTTTGTATAAACTTTAGATATTTTTAATATGAATACATACAAAATACAGTGACAAATTACATGGTTACATGGGAGTAGTAGCCAAGTGGTCAAGGCGTCTGTCCCTCCACACAAGGATCATGGGTATGAGCCTTTGCCCTAGGGCTCAACCATGTTTTCTCATATGACAACAGTACTGGTTAGTTCGGAGAAGCAGACTCAAAAGAGAATAATATACATGTAGATTGCAAGAGCTTCTTAAACAGTTGAGCTAAAATGAGCTCAAATAAATATGTTTGAACTAAACTTATTACATTTGATTGTTGTAGCATATCATAGGGCCCTCTTTTATTTCGACCCCAGTCTTTACATAGAAACTTATCTGACCACGCCCACATTTCACTCCACACTGTCCAACTGCAATAAATATTTGCATATGAAAAATTTTGCAAATAAAATTTTCTAATAAGAAAAAAATACTAAGCAAAAATTTTCCAGTTTGAAAAATAGATTTATGTCCCTTTCACATGTTGATGATAAAATAATGTTCCTATTATAATGTGCATGTTCATGCAATGTCTTAAGAGAGCAGCTCTGATTCTTTCTTTTTTACTTACTATTTCTATTATATGTTTTATTTTGATTGATATTTTCATAATTAAGATGTACAAAAATAATGAGAATGGCAGTATTTTTTCGTTCATACCGATTAGTGCTCGAAAATGTGACCAACTCACAAGCCGGAAATTATTATTCTTTTTTTTTTTTTTTAAATATTTAATGAAAATTATGACATGATTGTCAATGAAATTAACAACATGAGAAACAGAGACATTAAAGGGATACTCAGGCAAATTAATGATAAAAATATTAAAATGATCTTATGTACTCAAATCACACTTAAAGGACATTTTTAAAGTCCTAGCATAAATTTTCTATTTAAATTATATATATTTTCGGTTTGAAGCGTAAATACATCTTTATAGACACTTTCATTTAAGACCTTACTCAAGTTGTCGCCCTTGGATGATGTCATTGGGGGATACGGTGGACAATGCCTATACGATAAAGTACAATAATAGAGGGATATAAAGATCTTAATCTTTTCTCTTGTAAGATTGGCAGATTGAAATTGCCAAAATTTTGTGTAATTGAATAAGATATTACATAAAAAGGATGGTGAAATGAATAAATATGTTTAGATTTGTTTTAATAGTAGACCATATTCCTGGGTAACTGATCATGATTACCATTTTCGTTAGATTCTTAATAATGAAAATTTTACCAGGCAGTAAAATCGTAATAACTTGCTTATACCAGAGATATAGATAATGTATCTATGTCTCTGCTAATATACAATACCCAATAGATACCATATTTTGAGTTTCAAAAATGTAAGGATTCTGTAGTTTCGAAAAACGGCTGCGTAATAATTAATTGCAAGATACTGGTTTATTAAAACCGTTTTGATTTAAGCATTACTAAGACAAAGAAAAGAAAACAATATAAATCTATGTATTTCAAAACAAATGTAAAGGCATAAAAAGTAAAAATTCTTTTGAATGTACATGACTGTATACTTTTTGTGTCGGCAAAAAATGCACTCTTAAAAATCGTACATCACACCAATATATTTAAGCTGGTAAAGTAATATTTTCAACTCGATACTTTTTAATTCATACTCTGCTTATCAAATATTAAACAAGGGTGCCATAGTCACAAAATACGCCCGTTTACGAAAAAGCTTTAGATGGAGATGGGGCATTATGGATAAGTGTTATCTAGCAAGCAAGTTTTTATTCTTGGCACTGTGTTGTTAAATGAACTTTAAAACAAATCAATAGGGAAGATATGCACAGAATGTGTGACCTTGACCTTGGTCGCAGGGACCTGAATTTTATGCACGGCACTCAGCCTCACAATGATGAACATTTGTGCCAAATTATATTGAAATCCCTCTATGCATGTAGAAGTTTTGCTCCAGACAAGTGTTTTTCTATGAGCTCTAACTGACCTTCACCTTTGACCTAGAGACTTGGTTTATGTGCAGGGCACTACGTCTCATGGTGGTGAACAATTCTATAAAAGTAACATTAAAATTCCTCCATGCATGTAGAAAATATGCTCCGGACAACATCTGGATATTTAATCATCTCCAGTGACCTTGACCTTGCAAATATTAACCTAAATTAAATGTGTAACACCTGTAGTCATGATAGTTACCATTTGTGCTACAATCCATCAATAAATGATGACTAAATGGTCCCTATAACCATCTTCAAATTTTTATCTGAACTTTGACCTCTATGTGTAACCTTGACTTTGGTCGCAGGGATCTGAATTTTGCATGCGACACTCAGCCTCACAATGGTGAACATTTGTGCCAAGTTATATTGAAAACCCCCTATGAATGTAGAAGTTTTGCTCTGGACAAGCGTTTTTCAATGAGCTCTAAGTGTGACCTTGACCTTTGACCTGGAGACCTGGACCATGCATGGAGCAATACATATCATGGTGGTGAACATTTCCATAAAGTATTATAAAAATTCTTCCATACATGTAGGAGATATGCTCCAGACAAAATCTGGATATTTCACCATCTTTAGTGACCTTGACCTTGCATATATTGACCTAAAGTACATGTGTCACATCCGTAGTCATTATAATGACCATTTGTGTTACAATCCCTCAATAAATGATGATTAAATCGTCCCTATACACATCTTCATATTTTTATCTTTTTTTAAACATGCGTATAAAAAGTACATGTAATTTAATAACTAGAAAATTCTGATTTAAGATTTTATTCTAGGGAAATACATTTCATTACAATTCTTAATCTTTGAATGAGCTGAACTGATATTTACTTGAAAATTAAAATATAATTAAATTTCTATGAGAAAGTATTTACATTTGATAAGGTAATTACTGTATGATCTTTATGAACAAATACCAAGTCTACAGAACACCATAGTTATCACAGTTAAGAATCTTGACCAATGAATGAAACATGTGTAAATAATGTTACATTCTTTAGAACATACTCAAGCACAAGAAAGAGGATTATTTCATGCCCTTTGATTAAATTCTATTTTTAGAATTGAAAGTGAAAGTAGATCAAGGGGAGTAATTGTGTAAGTCATTTATGAACAAAGTAATAACTTTGTTGTCTCCCTTTGATTAAATTCTATTTACAAAATCTGGATATTTCATCATCTTTAGTGACCTTGACCTTGTATATATTGACCTAAATTATATGTATCACAGCCATAGTCTTGATAATGACCATTTGTGTTACAATCCCTCAATAAATGATGACTAAATGGTCCATATACACATCTTCATATTTTTATCTGAACTTTGACCTCTATGTGTGACCTTGACCTTGGCCGCAAGGACCTGAATCTTGCACGCGACACTCCGCCTCACAATGGTGAACATTTGTGCCAAATAATATTGAAATCCCTCTATACATGTGGAAGTTTTGCTCCGGACAAGCATTTTTTCAATGAGCTCTAAGTGTGACCTTGACCTTTGACCTAGAGACCTGGTTCATGTGCGCGACACTGCTCCTCATAGTGGTGAACATTTATATGAAGTTTCATTAAAATCCCTCCATACATGTAGGAGATATGCTCCGGACAAAATTGGACGCCGAAAGCCCGCCCACCCGACCGCCCGCCAGGGGCGTTCCCATAATACGTCCCGTTTTTCAAACGGGCGTATAAAAAAAAAAAAACAAGTTGTGAAACACGTTCACAGAAATTCGTTATTAATTGAATTATAAGTTTACGTATTTTTGACTGTGCCAGTTGATAGGACTCTGGATCGAGTATCAAATCAGTAAATCAGTAAGGCATGACCAATAAAGTCCCTAGGATGATCCATAACAAAATTCGGACCATAAATATTTTGACCACTAACAAAAGTGACGTAATCTGATGTGATGTTATAACTCTAAAAAATGAAAAAATGCACCCTGGTGATTTATGATATCACAGCCAAGTGCCGCTTGTATATACAACATATGTACCCTGTTAATTAATATGTTACGGCCCAGTGGCGCTTAAATATACACATCTATTTATCTATGAAATAAGTTACAGGGAAAAGGTCTTTAAAGAATAGATTTTTAATATCAAAATTATCTTATTATCGTTTTCAGCGAATCTAAAATTATTAGTCAATGCCACATGGTTTTTGTTCTTTCTGGAATATTTATAAAATTATATCCTTCACTGGTTCTTTGAAATATTTTTTATACGGCATAATGAAGTATTGGCAGAATGCATTCTGTTTTTGTTCTATTAAAGCTAGAAAAAAAATCGTTAAAAGACATTGGCAATCTTATTTTCAGCTGGGACATACGATAACATTATCGTATGTCCCAGTTTTCAGGTTTGTCACAAATACGCCAGAATTTTCTAAATGACAGAAAATAACACAGAAAACTAGAAAATGGCCATTTAAATTTATAATAGGCAATTTCAGTGTGTATGGGTGTTTATAAAATATTAAAATTTGATTTAGTTACTAGCTTTTTATCCTGGCATTAGAGAAAATCTAGATCTAATAAATATATTCACTTTGAAATTTCGCTGTTTCACTCCGTAGCGAGAATTAATCTCAATCTTTGTTTTTGTATTCTTTTTCTATTGTCTTGATATTAAATTTATGTATGCATGCGTAAATTTTTACATGTTATAATCATAACTGAACGATCAGTATTTACGCATTTAACTTTTCAATAAGCTAACATTCTATGCTGCATGCATAGTTTTATCCCCCATTTACGTCACATCCGGTAAGGGAAGTAACTCTTCCATGACTGTTATCGCTTAAATGAAAGGGTCTATATGTTGAACAAAATTTAGACCCCAACAGAATCACCGAATAGTTTTAAAACAAATCATGTGACTAGAACAAATCCTGTAAGTAACGATAACAGATGTTGTGGATATTGTATGTCTGAAACAAGTCTAAGTCATTCATTTGACATGTTCTTTAACGTTTCCAGAGTTCACTGTGACAACTATTGTGAAATCTTAGTGCTCTAACCTGACTCACGCGGGTCAAGTTAGGAAACCACCATTTTATTCTTTATATGGAGAAAAATTTTGTCCTTTGACTGTCTAATGTATTCATTTTGAGGACATTTACAGAATAATGAATGAAAATTTCAAAAACTAAGAATTAAAAATTTTGCCTGTGTCTCCCTTTTAACCATGAGACTTTTGTTTATTTAAATGTTTGTGATGAATCAGGATATTTTCCAACACATGACTTGAACAAAAACTGTTGTTTTTTTTCCATTTAATAGCTAAAACAATATTTAGCATTTACAAATAGAAATATTTTCACAAATAGTTTTTCAGTTCAAAGGGAGTCTGCCCTGTTCATAAAAAAATTACAGTAACACTTGTGTTGAACTATCAACTTTGAAGCTGGTAAGCTTCTTCACCAGTAATATTTTCCCATAATGATTTTCACCTTTTAAAAATACAACAGATTAAAAACGACATCATTAAATCATTTTCTAAGGCTTTAACTTAGAATCCTAAAATTAAATTTAACAATCAAACTTCTACATACCTGTAACATTGACAGGTCCACTTGGTGTCCATACTTCTCTAAACCCTGAAAAAAATGATACTTGTGTCTTTAACAGCATTCCGTTCAATACTGAAATAAACATTTTTTGGGTATATACTCAACTAAACAAAAATTATTGCAAAAAGCCACCAAGGCTGCTGATATATTTTTTTTGTTTTCATGAATTTAACCCTTATTTGAAAAAATGAACATTTCAAGCTCTGAATTTGGCCAGTCCATTACAGACAAGGAGATAAACATGTACCAACAGTACCAAAGTGCAGACAAACCTGACTCTATACTGGTGGCAAAGGCTATTCACTTAATTCCAGCAGAAGGTTAGGGGTTCATAAATGTTTCATATGACAGTTTGTCACCTTAGTGGAGTAACCAGTTAACTCCTTATATAATTTAATAGGAGTTAACCTGTTTCTGCACTAAGGTGAGCATGTTTTGGTTGAACACTGCATGTACCAAAGGATACACTTATAAAATGTATGCAATCTTTATACAATGACTTAAATATGGTACAGTTTTAACAATTTTTCCTAAGTCAGAGCATCTTCGCGATTTTTTAAGAGGTGATTGTCACCATGATAGCTTCCCTATAGTTGTGACTTTCTGCTTGTCACCAAACTGGGTGAAACTAAAACAGACAAATGAGCCATTTCACAACAAAACCAACAAAGTGGGTTTGCGACCAGCATGGATCCAGACCATCCTGCGCATCCGCGCAGTCTGATCAGGATCCATGCTGTTCGCTATCAGTTTCTCTTCTTGTAATAGAGTTGGTAAGCAAACAGCATAAATCCTGATCAGACTGCGCGGATGCGCAGGCTGGTCTGGATCTATGCTGGTCGCAAACGCACTATGTTGGTTTTGGCATGACACGGCTAAAAAAAAATTTGAGGTAATACTGAATGCAGATCAGCTGTCATCATAACTGGAACATTAAAAAACATTTAAATAATCATAAATCTATACCTCTAGCCCTGTTCACAACTGTTACAATGTAGACTCCAAGACTGCATAAAACTGTCAAAACAAAGAGCTTCTTCACACCTGAAACAAGTATAAATATTTCATACCAATTATTGCTATATTCTATAGTTCATTTATGTCTTTACCTACTTAGGAAGTACATTGTATGTGGGGGGAAAAGAAAGGGCACAAGATATTTACAAAATATGATAAAGGAAAGAAGCAGAGGCCATCCTTAGAAAAATATTTGTTTGCAGTAACGCGACCGACTCACAAAATTTGCCCCTACTCAAATGTTTTTTTCATGGTCTGGATAAAAAAAAATTTTCTTGAATCAGAAAATTATGCCTTGTGCTTTGTTTTCGTTCTTTAAAGGGTAATAGAAGAAATAAAATGTAGATCTTATTAAATTAGAATTCAGTTATCAATTTATTAATTGTTACTACATTATCAAAGCATATATTGTCCAGCATTTTGAAATTACATGTTTATTTGGGAGTACAGTTCAATAAAAAAAAAAAAAAAAAAAAAAAAAAAAATCGACCTACCCACCTTGAAAATTCTGGGTCGGGTTACTGCAAACAAACATTTTTTTAAGGATGGCCCGAATTATGTTAAATGATATTAGATTTATTATTCAAGTTTGTTTTGTACAATATGGAGAACTGATTAATTCAAACTAATGCCAAGCAGGAAAACCCATATTGGATGAGCCAATTGTTTTTTTTTTCAAGCGCCTATAAGGCCAAATATATCCAATATTGTAGAGAACACTGTTCAGGAAGTCTGGTAATTGGTAACTTGGAAAAGGTAATGAATGATGCTTTACTTTCAGATTTTTAGATTTTGTTTAATATCAAATATGTAATTTTGCAGGAAAAGTTCTTATTTGTCAAGAATATACATGTTTGTAAAATATTATTGCTATCTCTACACAAAAGCATGTTAACTCGTATGTAGGTCAAGTTTTGTATTAACCCTTACCATGCTCAATACCTCAAATGGACTTTTCCATTTTTCAGTCTGATAAAACCATTCAACAATCCATGGCTTTAAGTTCAAATTCAATTTATCAATTTAAGCTGTGATCATTATAAGTGAAAGTTTGCAAAATATTAACTGAATAGCCAAGTGTGTAGACCATAATCTAATATGTCATGGATGTGCCTGCAGATTTTAGTCTGCACTGGTCACAAGGGTAGGGCAGACTAAAGGTCACAGTTCAATTTGTAAGTATATTTAGAAATGCAGCATTCATAAATTCTAATTTAATAATCTATTAAGTTATGTCCTATAAAATACTATATAGTGAGGCCATTGATTATAATGAAAATACTCTATTTTCAACAATTAGTTAATGTACAAACCAAATTTCCTTTTGCATTTTCTTCCCAAACTCATTACTGAATATGATGATCCTTTTGTACACCTGAAAATGTAAATAATAAAAATTGTAATTTATCATATGCATAAAAATTTCTTTCTTCCACTTGGTATCTTGCAGGGCATCAGCAGATGATTGCATGTTTTCTACATCTCAGGGTTAGTCTACAGTTACATGAAGTAAGCTGTCAGTGTCCTGAATAAAGCCAAGGGGAATGGCTCTACAAAGTAGGCAGGGACCATGATGAAAGTGGGAACCTACATGTAATGATGTACATGTAGTAGAAAAGAATAGATGGCATAGAAAGTGACAGCTTGAAAGGCAGGCCCTTTGCTTTGCACCAACAACATCCTTTTCAGGGCTACGTCCTTCACATATTGTCTCAGTTTACTGTACATTGAGGATATCATTGGCCACCGTACAGTGACCTAATTTTGGCTCAAAATTCATATCTTTGGCTAATACCCCTTTGGAAATTCGAATTGCATGGAGGTAAATTATCACCACTTCGCATTTCAAAATTAACCCTTTAAGGGCATTACTGGCGACATGCTACGGGTCCATTCTCAACAGGGAAAGCTGATTTTTGTGAATGAAAGGTGGGATGGACACTCAATATGCATAGATTTCATCATAATCATCATATGCATAAAACATTATACAATATCTATCTATCTTCCATTATTGTCAAAACCCTTGTGGGGAGGTAAACATGTCTGAGCCTCAAAAATTGCAAGAAAGTTAAAAAGAGTTGTTTAAAAGAGGATAAAAGAATATTAAAAATGTTAAAAACAGGGGCTGGAAAACTAGTTGGATGCAAGCTATGGCTGCAATGAACTGCTCTTGGGTAGGAAGTAGGGCTACTGCAGGGGGTAGGTGGTTCCAGTGGTATACTGTCCTAGGAAAGAATAAGAATTTAATATAGTCTGATGTTGCTGTGAATAACCTACAACATAAGCGATGGCCATGGCTTGATGTTCTGGAGAGGGGTGTCAAATATTCTTCTGTGGGGATAGCAACCAGACCATGGTGAATCTTATAGAAAAGGGATAACCTAGCATCTATACGTCAAAGTTTCAGTTTTCTAAGCTAAAGGAAGTGAAGCAGGTCTGTGACGCTAGAGGTCTGACCATAATCTAGCATAATCTATTGGGCTGCTCTTCTTTGGACATTTTCAATTTGATCTATTTGTATTTTGGTGTGGGTAGACCATACTTCAAGCTGGGCTCTGACTAATGTCTGGCAAGCAATGAACTTAATTGATTGGGATTTAAACTTTATGTTTCTGCATAGGAATCCTAAGGTTTGGTTTGCTTTCTTGGATGTCCTGTTTATATGGGCATCGCATGTGAGGTTTTCTGATATATATCCAAGCCTAGGTATTTAGCTGAGGTAATCGATTCCATGGAGGTAGTACTGTGTTGGGATAGTCTTATTCCTTTTAGCGATGTGGATAACTTGACACTTGGAGGGGTTAAATCCAATATCCCACTCCAAATCCCACTTTTCTAACCGATTTAGATCATTTTGGACAATGTTTACTGTAACTTAAGATATACACAACCAGTTTGAATGAATGTCTTTAAATAACACAACCCTTAACAACTTCACAATATAACTGTACGCAATTTAATAGTTTATTCTTGGAATGATATACTTTAATACAATTTGATTTTACTGAAGAGGAAGTTTCATTGTTTAACCGGCAATTACTCTAATCCGGCTACTACCACACTGCAAACTTTATCTTCTTCTGACAATTTCAACCTGTCAAGCAATCTATTAATGTTTCATTTGAAACAAATGGCAAAGACAATTCAATGTTTATTCTCCTATTATAAAGTACCTGTTTAAGTGAAGAGTTTATCATCAATTTATTTTGAGATTAGAAAATTGATTCGCGGAAAACACCGGATTTACTTCCCCTTATGTCGACCACCCATCCATCCATCCATCCATCCCACCTCTGAGACACAGCTTTAACTACATGTAATTATTTTTATAGCCGTACGTGTCAGAGGGAAACATAAAAATATAATATCTACACATCAATTGGAAGAAAGTCTACTAAACTTAAACAAAATAGTAAAACTTTTAAAAGTTTTACAAATGCATTTTTAGCAAATTAAGTCCTACCACTGTAAATTTGATATGTCTGAACATTTGAAAATCATATGAATGCAATCTATGTACACGGATCTTAATTTTTGTGTAAAATAAATCCATGATACAGTGCTGCTGTTCTATATATATAATGCTGCTGTAATAATATATGAATAAAAGTAATTGAATTAAACACAAAAATAGGATTTTTCATCAATTTTTTTCAATCATGATACTCTTTAATCAGATAATGTCTCTGCTTTAATCATGCAATACCTGAAAGAAAATTCTCTGCGCTAGTTTAACAATTCTTTTTATGCCTTTTTAAAAAACAACAACAGAAAACCCCACATTATCTATCTTTCGTTAATGTCAAATCCCTCGCGGGGACGTACGTACACACGCGCGCGCGTACGCACACACACACGCGCGCACGCACGCACACACACACACCAGAGACGTTAAAATACTTATTGTATGTCTCTGAAACAACTAAAATCTGAAATTTGAGGCCTTTCACCCCATTTTTCACTTTGCTCAAATAAAAGAACTGTGCGCCGTACTTATTTAAAGCCAATTTATTTGGCTTAATAAGGCAGCTTTATCCGTTAAGCGATTGCCAATATTGTATTTTCCCGGTTGCAAGGACAAACAAACACAAACGAACATAGTGTAAGTCAAAACTGTCGATGTATTTTCCAAATACTTACAACTGCATGCATGCATCCAGTAGAGCCAAAAATTTCACGAAAATTAGCCTCCCGATTCATGCTAATTTTCATGAAAATTTTGAAAATGTATTTAAATGTGTATTACTGTATAGTAACCAAAAGAAAGCAATTTACACATTATCAATGGCACTTATTATCAAACCACGTAAATTACCAAAAAGTGGTCAAAATATGCATAAATAGCCTTTACTGCGTTAGTGACGCAGTAGAAATATAATTGTAAATAAAGAAAAATCAGTCATTAATCGCACATAATATGTAAAATATTACTTGAATTTTGAAAGTTTTTACTTTTACTTATACAACTTAGTACATCTTTTTCTCAAGTTTGATTTTATTGAAATATTTTGACTCATCTGGCGGGAAAATGTATCAAGATTTTCAAAAAAGCAAAATATTTACAATTCAAGTTATAATTTGCATGTTTACAATGTTATGGATGACCGATTTTGCTGTATTTATCACCATATAAGTGAGGGTTTTTTCTCCATTTTATAAACATAATAATTATTTGGTAATATACGTGGATTGAATGTGTTGTTTGCAATGTGTAAAGTACTAAATCTTTGTTCATATGAAAATATTTTTCTTTTAAAAAATACATTTCAAACTTTTCATGAAAATTATCATGAATCTGGGAGCGCGCTGCTTAAAAAATTCACAAGATCTGCATATTTTATTTTTAATGGTTTCATCACGGATTTATATTATAAATCCGTGGTTTCATTCACGGAAATATGGTATTTTTGACCAAATTACAGGTACAAGTGAAATGAATTGTTTTACTATTTGTTATAGTTTTTTAACAATAGATTCTGTTACATCTCATCTTGTGGTTTTCTTACAGTACGTGATATAGTTTGATTATACCTACGCCAACTGATATCTGTATAAAACATTCATATCTTTTTCTTACGAGATATTTACTAATTCGCCACACCTTAGAATGATTTGTTTAAGAAAATCTTGACTATATATATACACCTATATGGTTCTATATATGAGTGCCAAGTGTTTGAGCACTCATACACGGGACCTCGATTTAATGTCTCATCCGAAAGACTGTCAATCAGTTGGCCATGTCACCGAGTCAAATGTTGGCAGGTCACATCTCATGAATATTCATCATAAGATTTATGTTAATATTTATAATTCAAATGTACGTCAAGTGTACTTTTGTAGTGACGTTATAAATATTCAATATTAACCAAGTCAAGTAGTTTATACTTGAAAAATCTCTTTCTCTAATAACAGTCCAGGTGTAAGTATATATCTTACGTAGGATCTGACGACTTTGGCCAATGCAATCTTGATATTTTGAGCCGCGTCACGACAAAACCAACATAATGGGTTTGCGACCAGCATGGATCGCTTACCATCTCTATAACAAGTAGAGAAACTGATAGCGAACAGTATGGATCCTGATCAGACTGCGCGGATGCGCAGGCTGGTCTGGATCCATGCTGGTCGCAAACGTACAATGTTGTTTTTGTCATGACACGGCTCAATTTAAATCATCAAAATTCTTCTACTTGTATGGAGGCGTTTTGTTTATTGTTTATACACATCCATCGAAGAATGACATCCGGTATCGATACATCAGAGAAAAAATTGAAACCGGAAAATCACTTGTGAGGAGTAACAATAATGTATTGCCACGCACGGTCCACGTGGCATTGTATAATCTGTGTGGGACAAATAACCAATTTAGATTATAATTTTCCTCCCAAACTTTTTAAATATTTCATTATTTTTTAATAACCCTCATTCTACGGAAGAGCATTAGTGCCAGGTGTATGTTTTTTATTAACTCGAAATTTCGAGTTACTAACTCGAAATTTCGACTTACTTAACTCGAAATTTCGACTTACTTAACTCGAAATTTCGAGTTACTAACTCGAAATTTCGACTTACTAACTCGAAATTTCGACTTACTTATCTCGAAATTTCGAGTTACTAACTCGAAATTTCGACTTACTAACTCGAAATTTCGACTTACTAACTCGAAATTTCGACTTACTTATCTCGAAATTTCGAGTTACTAACTCGAAATTTCGACTTACTAACTCGAAATTTCGACTTACTAACTCGAAATTTCGACTTACTAACTCGAAATTTCGAGTTACTTATCTCGAAATTTCGACTTAGTAACTCGAAATTTCGACTTATTAACATTACAAGAATGGCCAAAGTTATTAGTTAGATGGTATAAGATATAGTAGGCAGTGCCTTTGAACGATGGAGATGGAGAAACGGGTGCCTGGACAAAAACTATTGAAATTTAACTTAAACTTAGTAATGGCATGTACACACCTGACCTAAAAAAAACAAGGCTTCCTTTAATTTGTACGTTCAGGCGTTCTTCAGACGTTGTATTGTATCCCATCTGTTCGAACATATCTTTTCACTAATCATATTCTTCTCATCCCTGTGAATAAAACGGTCCTATACTTCACGTGTGGGACATCTTAGGAAAGTATCGCGGCGTGGCCAAAATAGGGCGTGCTGAGGCCTTTGTCAAAATTGTTGGACTGACTATATTTCTTGTAAAATCGGATGCTTTTATATTATTCCCAACATATATATAACAACAAGTATCACTTTTATCAACTTTTATCAACACAATATCAAAGTATTAGTAAATAATGAATAATGTTACAAAAACATTATTAGTATAAAGAAACGTGACAGACTAACTGGCGTATACACGCCAATTAAAACTTATCTAACACATGATATTGCAAAGTTTACAATAGGGTGGGTTTTGGACTTGTTGTTTCTCCACATGAGGGTTGTATGTGTGCTTAAGAAAAAGAAACACCCGGTTAACACAGAAATGTGGAAAGTGTGATTTTACACCCCCCCCCCCCCCCCACAAAAAAGCGAAGGATATGTTCAGTATGTGTGGACAATTTGACCCTATAAAATTGTTCTGTTAAATAAATGTTAAAGGTGCTCTGTCAATGTGCAACAGCTACACACGAAAGAAAGTATCTTGAATTCAATCCTTGCTTTCACTGGCAACCAATGAAAGTCGTGCAATGTAAGTCGAAATTTCGAGTTAGTAACTCGAAATTTCGAGTTAGTAACTCGAAATTTCGAGATAAGTAACTCGAAATTTCGAGTTAGTAAGTCGAAATTTCGAGTTAGTAACTCGAAATTTCGAGTTATTAAAAAACATACACCTGGCACTAATGCTCTTCCGTATCATTCTGATTTGAAACCTATATAATTAAATGCAATGTACTGGGGGGGGGGGGGGTTTAATTAATATTTTTACGGAAAGTGAAACCGCGTGTTTCATGTATTAGCGCGGTTTTACCTTTTACCTTACGAAAAAATATTTTTTTATTGACCTCCCTCTAGAATGAACAGGATCTACGATAAATATCCCATAAAAGGTAATGAAAAATATTCTTTAAAAGTTATGACAGAAATAAAACCTCGACCTTCTTTTGTATTTGTAGATCACAAAAAAGTCACAAACAAGTCACGTGGTATAGGCATGGAAAATTCCAGACATGGTTTGTTTAAATGGTATACACTAGGCCGACTACACATAGAGAACCAAGGCTAATTGACATTGCTTATTGTACATTAAACAAATAAAACCTGCATTTCTCCTTCTTTTGATTAAAAAGAGATTTAGGTTTTTTGTTTAAGGAAGTTATCTTAAATTGTGTTGCCAAAATGACGCCGAAAAAAAGATTTCTTTTTTAAAAGAAAGGCAAAACCGACTTTGATTTTTTTCCAGAAAAAAGTAAATGATAAATAGAAGGCTACGACGCTGTAATTAAACAATGTCGCTCAAATGGAATTTTTTTGACAAACCCTGAATTCAATGACAAATGCTTTCGTTTATTCAGTGCATTTATATACATGTAACTTTTAAGTGCATTTTCTGATGTAATGCAATATTATACGAAAAACGGAGTTTGTTCTTAGTTGCTGTAGGTATAAATAAACACAAGCAAATGTACAGATACCCCTGTGTGTAATGACAACACTTAGGAAAGTGAAGAAGTAAACGTTATGAGGAAAAAACCTTTACAGGTGGTCTGTAAACAAATGAACGTTAACCAGAGGTTAATATATAATAGAATATATAATCA